ATATGTTTGTTGGCCGCTTGAATATCCTCCTTGGTGAAGTGTCTGTTCATGTCTTCTGCCCATTTTTTAATTGGATTGTTTGTCTTTTTGTTATTGAGGTTCCAACAAGCATTTTTAAAATGTCATCACAAGTATTTTATTTATGACTTTTATTTTGGTTGCAGGTTTTCAAAATTCATGTGGTTCAAAACCATTAGACCTATAAAAAGGTAGAAAGCAAAAGAGACTTTTGCCTAGCGTTGACTGCATGTGGGCACTGTTCTAAGGGCTTGACACCTATTTGTTCATTTAATCCTCACAAAAGCCCCAGGGAGGGTAGGTGCAATTACCAGCTCCATATCACAGATGAGCAAACTGAGGTTCAGTGGGGTGAAGTAATTTGCTAGAGGCAGTCCAGCGTCCAAGTTTCTGCCCTTGACAGGTAGTCTTTCTTCCTGGACTTCCATCCACACCACTATTGCCACTGCCTCCCAGCTCTGCCACACACCCCGTTACCGGTTTCTTATGGATCCTTTCAGAGTTTCTCTGCATTTTAAAAAATAGAAGAGATTAGAAAATAGCAGAATATGTCACACATACTGACTACTGTGTTGTGACACCTTTGTAGGTAAATGTAGTGTACACATGTCAGGTTATAACTATGCTCCTGTGAGTTTGTGTGTGTGTGCCTGTATCTGTGTGTTAGTTTTCTGTGTACTTATGTATGTTTGTTCATGAGCCTCTGTATTGGTGTGTGTGTCAGTATCTGTGTCTGTGTGTGAACATACATGTGTATCTGTATGTGTTAGTGTGTCTGTGTCTGTGTGTTTGTGTGTGCCTATCTCTGTGTGTGTCTGTGAATGTACAGGTCTGTGCATCAGTATCTCTGTCTGTGTGTATCTGTGTCTCTGTATGTGAGTGTATGTGACGTCCATGTCAGTATCTATGTGAATGTGTCTGTTCCTAAGAGCCTTTGTCTTTGCCAGTAACTGTGTTTGCATACTGGAGCTCTGGTAGAGTAGTGCCTAAGGCACTTGACTGCTAACCAGAAGGCTGGTGGTCCAAACCCACCAGCCACTCCTTGGAAGGAAGATTGGGCAATCTACTTCCATAGTGATACTGCCTCGGAAACCCAAGGAGGGGTCTCTATGAGTTGGATCCAACTTGACAGCAGTGAGTTCTTTTTGTGTGTGTGTTTGCATACAAGTCTCTGTAGCTGTGTGTGATTCTGTGTGACTGTGTACATCTGTGTGTTTATGTGTCTCTGTGTGTGTGTTCATGTGTCTGTGAGATTTGCCACAACTATGCCCTGGGAATGGACTGTCCTATGTGGCCCCCTGCTGACATTCCCTGGGATGCCTCTGTCCAGTGCTGAGCTTAAGCAGTCCTGGCTTATGAGAGCCGACTGTGCTTAGCCCTTCCCACCTCCGCATCAGGGTTGTAGCTTGAAATCAGCCCTAGTGAGTAATCTCCCTTCCCCATGCTCTGAGAGGTCAGTCACCAGCATTCCCCAGTATGCTGGAGTCCCTGACTAGTGGAACCCAAGATGAAGATCATGGCTTCCTGTTTAAATATTCTAAAATTGTAAATATTAAGATGTTAAGTGTCTTTCATAGCAGCTAGTCTGTGACCTTTGTGTTAAGGCTTATCAAGGGTAAAAGTGAGGTGGTTCCCAACAGAGACCGGGGCATTTGTCTGTCAGGGACATGCTGCTGGGAGGGGACTAGTCTGGGGGTATCCTTAAGACCCCTCTGACACACCAAGAAGGGTACATCTAGCAGGTGAACTGTGACAGCCTTTGGTGCCTGGGACTGATCGGGGAGGACTGGGCCAAGGTCAGGAGCCCTGGTAGTGTAGTGGTTATGCACTTGCCTGCTAACCAAAAGGTCAGGTCTTTGAACCCACCAGCAGCTCCATGGGAGAAAGATGTGGCAATCAGTTTCTTTAGATTACAGCCTTAGAAACTCTATGGGGGCACTTCTACTCTGTCCTATGGGGTTGCTAGGAGTGCAAATTGACTTAGTGGCAATGGGTTTGGGCCAAGCTCTGAGAGTGGCCATGGCAGGGGTCTAGGTCAGGAGCTGGGAGGAAAGGCCAAAGGAGTTCAGTGGGCATGACAGTAAGGAGGCTGGTAGACACCCACCTCTGGAGTTTAGGAAACCTACATTCTACTTTGGGCCCTGCCACTTTCTGTCTGGGTCCTTGGGCAACGCACCCCTTCTCTCCTGGCTATAAAAGGAAAGAATAATAAAGATTTCACTAGGCTGCTGTGCCCATGAAGGCAAGTGACACCTGGAAAGTCTAAGGAAAGTGGAAAGTTCTAGATAAATAGGAACTTTTTTTCTCTCTCAGTGATTGCAATAACTTTTATTGCTCCCTGTAACTCCTTTTTTTTTTTTTTTTTTTTACTTTTATTGTGGTGACATACACAACCAGACATTCACCAACATAACAACTTCCCCATTTACAGCTCAGGGACATTGATGACATTTTTCATGTTGTGCCACCATTATTGTTATCCTTTTCCAAAAAGTTCCACCACCGTTAGCATAGACTCAACGCCCCACAAACAAAAGCTTCACCTTTCCTCCTCCATCGCTGGTAACCACCAATAATCTTTGGGGGATATACATATACATATAAAATCAACCTATCTTGGAATTTTCTTTCCGCTGTCCCATCCCTGGTAACCAACAAAGAAAGTTTCCTTCCATGTATAAACCTTTCCCTGACTTTTTACAATAGCGGACTAATACAATATTTATCCTTCTGTGATTGACTTATTTCACTAAGTATGATTTCCTCCAAGTTCATCCACGTTATGCGGTGAATAAATAGGAACTTTTTATGATGACTATGAATATCATAAATGGTCATAAATGTTAGTCCTCTTCCTTCCTGACTTTTTTTTCTTAATGGTGAGATCCTTGGGAAAAGAAAAATCTGACTGACTGGCAAGGCGTCCGACAACACAGGAAATAATGCTGCCTCTAACGACAATAGCAAACACATATACAGGCACAGCTCTAAGGACTTTAATTGATTCACAGTTCACAGCTCCGCCAGGCCTTCTGCTGCCTTTCCTCTAGCCCCGCCCCAGGGTGGGGGTTACAGGGCCAGCTGATACGTGCCATCCCTTCCCCAACAGGGCTCCCTAAACGCGTGGAGCTGGTGCCGCTGCCTCCCTGGCAGCCGGTGGGCAAGAACCTCACCCTGCGCTGCCAGGTGGTGGGCGGAGCGCCCCGGGACCACCTCACGCTGGTGCTGCTCCGCGGGGAGGAGGAGCTGAGCCGGCAGCCCGCGCTGGGGGAGCCCGCGGAGGTCACGGTCACAGTGCTTGCGCGCAGGGAGGACCACGGCGCCAACTTCTCCTGCCGCACGGAACTGGACCTGCAGCGCCAAGGGCTGGGACTATTCGAGAACAGCTCGACCTCCAGGCAGCTCCGAACCTTTGGTGAGGCGTTGGGGTGCCTACGGAGGGGGCGGGCTTGGGGGGCGGGGTGCCCCCGCTGGGGGTGCAGAACTCCTGTGGAGGAAGGACACCTGGCTGCAACGTACTGGACTGCAGAGGCTTCTGAGAAAGCAAGCCCTTGGCCACTGGGGTGGGGTGTCCTGGGATAGGGTGCTCACAGCCAGGGTCTTTTGAGAAGGCTGTGAACCCAGCCAAGAGGTGGGTGTGTCTGGGATAAGGTTGAGCCATCCACCTTGTCCCAGGAACAGGATGTTCCAGGTGGGGAAATGGAAATGCCTCAGAAAGGGAGACATGACGCCTGTCCCCTCTGTTCACACCTGCCTCCTCTCCCCAGCCCTGCCAATGACCCACCCGCTTCTCGACGCCTCCAGGATCTGGGAGGTGGGCAAAGAGTCGAACGTGTCCTGCTCCTTGCAAGGAGTGTTCCCAGTCTCGGAGGCCCAGGTCCACATGGCGCTGGGGGACCAGGCGCTGAATCCCGCAGTCGTAAACCACGGGGACATGCTCAAGGCCACAGCCACAGTCGTAGTGCGCGCAGACCAGGAGGGCGCCCAAATTGTCTGCAACGTGACCCTGGGGGGCGAGAGCCGTGAGACTCGGGAGAACGTGACAGTCCACAGTAAGAGGGGCCGGGGAGCCTGGACGGCTCAACAGGTGGGGCAGTGGGGCAGGGCCTTTTTTGCCCGGTGGGCGTGGCAGAAAGAGGGCAGATAGCTGATGAGACCCGGCCTCACCAGCCTAAACCGAAGGAGTTATACGTGGGCGGGGCCTGGCCCTAAGGAGTCAAAAGGCTTGGCCTGGATACCCCGTGAGGAAAGGGGCGGGCGGAGGCGTGGCCAGCGAACTCCTGGACAATGCCCGCCCTTAGGTTTCCCGGAGCCCATCCTGTACTTGAGCAAGGCCACCGCTCCCGAGGGTACCATGGTAACTGTAACTTGCATGGCGGAGACTCGAGTTAAAGTTAGTCTAGATGGAGCTCCAATCACAGCCCCTGGGCAGCCCGCCCAGCTTCAGTTGAACGCCACCGAGAGCGACGATGGCCGCAACTTCTCCTGCAAGGCCTGGCTTGAGGTGGGCGGCAAAATCCTGCACAAGAACATAAGCGTCCAGCTTCGTGTCCTGTGTGAGTTGATCACCCTGACCATTAATTCCTCACCCCCCTGACCTAGGACTTGATTCTCCTTTGCCTTATTGTGTGTTGGGTATGTCTGATCACATGCTGTCCCACAGATGGTCCCAAGATTGACCAGGCCCAGTGCCCTCAGCGCTTGACATGGAAAGATAAGAGTTACCAAGTCCTTCGGTGCCAGGCCCGGGGCAACCCGGTTCCCAAGCTGCAGTGTTTGAAGGAAGTCTCCAGGGTTGAGGTGCCCATCGGGATACCATTCCTCGTTAAGTTAAAACATAATGGCACCTACCACTGTCAGGCTGTTAGCCCGCGTGGCAAGACTACCATGGTAGTGGTAATAGGAGTTCAGGGTAAGTTGAGGTGGAGCTGTGGTTTGGACGGGCAAGTTCAGAAAAAACCAGGACGCATTTTCACTTCGTGCCTCTCTGCACAGATCGGAACGCCTCCTCTGTCACCATCTGCATTGCTGTATTAGTGGTCTTGGGCCTGGTAACTGTCGCAGTGGCCCTACTGTACGTCTTCAGGATGCAGAAGCGGAGCGGCACCTACCCTTTGAAGCATGGGAGCACCTCGCTGCCCCTCACGTCTAGACAGCCCGATGGGCTGGCGGGGGAGGAGCCGTCCTGATCTGCCGGCTTCCGGGATCCCAGGCCAAAGACCACGGGGGTGATGACCGTATCTCCGGAGGCCACATCAATAAAGCCTTCAAACTCCCGAGTCTATCTCTCCCCACGCTTTGCGCTTCCACTGAGCTATTTAAGGTGGCGGAAGGGGGTGGAGCCTGCGGCGCCTAAATGTAGCTAGAACTCCGAGAGGCAGGCTGGGCCTTAGCCAATGGGCTGAGAGACTCGGGAGGTAGACGGGGTTTCTCTCAGCCAATCGCCGGGTGCGCCCTCATTGCCGCTCTATGCCGCTCCGCCCCGGCTCGCTGGTCCCAGAAGGCGCCGGGTTTCCCAAGATGGCGGCCGACGTGTCCGTTACTCACCGGCCCCCGCTGAGCCCGGAGGCTGAGGCCGAGGCTGAGGCCGGCGATGCTTTGGAGCGCCGAGTGCCCGAGGAGGATCTACCTCCGCTAGATCCGGAGGAGATCCGGAAACGCCTGGAGCACACCGAGCGCCAGTTCCGTAACCGCCGCAAGATACTGATACGGGGCCTCCCGGGGGACGTGACCAACCAGGTATGGGGGGGGCGCGGTGTGGGAGCATGGCGGGAAATACCACCCTGCGCGTGCGCGGGGGGAAACTAGGCGCCACCAACCTCGGCGTGCGCGGGGGCGTCGGCTGGAGAGTCCAAGCGCGGGACCCACGCGGGGTTGGGAGAGCCCAAGTTCTGGATGTGGGAGGTGACGATGGAGGAAGAAACCAACCATGGGCTGCAGAAGGACGTTGCTATGGGTGACCACTGGTTTGGGCGAGACCAATTAATTGAAGGAGGCGGGGAGTGAACGGGGGCGGGCAACCATGGCCATGGTGAGGGATTGAGAATGGCCAACTAGACTAGAACGGGTGGAAATCTGGACGCTAGTCGCTCCCTGCGCGGATTGTGCTTTGCTCCACCCTCACTGCCTCGAGGTGATAGGAACTCGTCCCCAGAAGTTTCAGGTTTCCTTGGAGTTATCACGCATTTATACACTATCAGAGATAGATCCGGAAGTCGTATCGGCCCTTGGGGACTCCCTTCCCCGTAAGCCTCAGGATTAATTTGGAAAAAGGGGAATTCTCCTGACACTAGCCCACAGATCTGCAGGACAAGAAGCCCTGTGTTCTGCGGAGGCCCCCACGGCTGATCTTCTAGCCCGAAGTACGCTTCCTGATGCTCTTTGGACCCAGGGAGATGGCATTCAGTTTGCCCTGCCCTGCTGGACTGAGTACTTCCTCCCCGCCCCCATGCATTCTGGCCCACCAGCACACCTGCCACTGGTCCTCCCCAGCTCACAGGTGGGACTGTGGCCCGTGGGGGTCCTGGAGTGTTGGGGGCTGGTGATCAGTGCAGGTGCCAGTGGGCATGGTCTGGCTTGTTTCCAGAGCCAGTCCTCCACCCACTGCCCACCATCTCAGCTGGGAACAGACTGTCTTTCTCGCCGGGACACAGTTTGTATGCTAGAAGCAGGCTCCAGCATCTCGCCTTTGCAGCTGGCTATTGAGAGCCACCAGTGCCAGCAGGAGGCATGTGTAGCCACAGATGTGGGCTTGTTAAGTACACAGACTCTCTAGTCAGGTAGTCCTGGGTGGCATTCCTGCTGCTTCCATGATGGTAGTGCCTAAGGCATTTGACTGCTAACTGGAAGACTGGCGGTTCAAACCCACCAGCCACTCCTTGGAAGAAGGATTGGGTGATCTACTTTCATAGTAATGCTGTCTGGGAAACCCAAGAAGGGGTTGCTATGAGTCAAATTGACTCGCCGGCAGTGAGTTTGGTTTGTTTTTCACCTTTTTATGTCTTTTTCTTCATCTATAAAATGAGTTTGTTAATACCTAACTTGTAGGATTGTTGGAAAAAGTCAAGAATATTTTGCAAACCAAGGTTCAGTGGGTTAAATGAGTTTCCTAAGGCCTGAGATTTGAGCTCAGACCTACCTAATTCTAAGAGTGTGGTAGTGTGAGTAAAAGTCTGCCAGGCTGAGTCAGTTCTGCCATGTATTGGCTGGCCTTGGCAAGTAGCTGTTCTGAGCCTCAGTTTTCTTATTTGCAAAATGAGAGTAGTAATTGACCTGCCTTCATCGTGGGTCTGCATTAAGTGCTGATACAGTGGTTGACACCAATAAGCGTTTAGTTAGTGGTACCAGGTCATGCCGTCCTTCATCCCTTGGTGACTCCTGTCCTTTGGTTTTTATCTTTGCAGGAAGTACATGACCTGCTCAGCGACTATGAGCTCAAGTACTGTTTTGTGGACAAATACAAAGGGACAGGTTTGTGGGGCCAGGGTGGATGAGGGGTAGAGATAACAGCCCCTGAAGCTGGGAAGGTCCTGGTCCAGCTTTTCCCCTCCTGAGTTCTGGACCCAGCGTCACCCCCCAGGGCGGTGCAGCAGGTTGCACAGATTGTCCCTTATCCTGGGTGCCCATCTTAGGGCAGCCTGGTTGTTCCTCTTCTAGACTGCCCAGCCGGATACCCAGGCATTGGGTTCACACACTTCCTATTCCTCTCCCCCAGTCACCCAAGTCTCTGTAGTTGTCTTCTTCAGGATAATTCAGAAATACTCATTCCCCAACCTTCTGCCTGGTCCAGCCACCTGCATTGCTGTCTAGATGGCAGCCTTACTGTAGCCTCTCTGCCTCTGCTGTTTCATCCTCCTGCTTATCCTCAGACAACTATCTGATCTGATTGCAAATCTGATCAGACCTGATTGTAACCCTGAGCATTCTTCTCTCTCCTGAAAACCTCTCTGAGGCTCCTACTGTCACTGCTTTGTGAGGATATGTTCTGACCTCACCAACTCCTCTGGGTGCCTACAAGGTTCCAGACTGTTCCCTATGCCACTGCTTTTAGCTGTCCCTTCCTCCATCCATGTCCCATCCAGGCAGGGTCAGGCAGTTCCCCCCCAGGGCCCTGGGCGGCCCCCCTGGCTGTCACTGCTAGCTCACCTGTCTGCCTCGTATACTGAGGGTCAGCTTTCAAGATTGGGGGATCAGTCTCATTAGCCTCAGCCCCCTTCGTGGGAGGCCCTTGGGTATTGGTGCCTACCCACATGTGCTGGGAGTTAGATTTTCCAGGACTTAGTTTCTGATTAATAACATGGGTGGAAAGGAGCTGAGGACAGGTGCTGGGAGGCAGGCGAGGGTAGTGGTTAAAAGGTTCTTGGGCCCTGGAGGCAACCAGACCTGTGTTCATGTCCTGGTCTGACCTTGCTCTGTGACTATAGACAAGTGATTTATCCTCTCTGAGCCTCAGTTTTCCCACCAGCAAATTGGCCGTGACCACCTACCTATTCGGGTTGGTTATGAGGCTAAATATACAAAAATACCTAAAAGGCTGTGGGTACTTGGCAGGTAGTAGGTGCTTGATAAACATCGAGAGGGGCAGCACTATTTGTTGAGCATCTAGCACGTGCTAGGCATCAGAGATCAGGGGTGAATGATACTTGAGTTCATACAGTTTTTCATGCAGTATCATGGAGTATCTTGTGTGCTGGGCACTGGGCACGCAGCTGTGAAGCAGAACCAGTCTGGTGGGGGAAGAGGATACTATTCAGCCACCACCAGAAATGGTGACGGGGACCAAAAGTAATGGCACTGTGGGCTCACAGTCAAGATCAGAGACAGTCAGGAGCAGTTGGGGTAGGCTCATGGCAGAAGTGACATCTGTGGTCAGCCCTGAGGGGAAGGGGTTATCTAGGTGAAGAGATGGGGGTCAGCATTCCACATGCAGGAGACAGCAGGCACAAAGGCCCGAGCTGGCAGTGTGCTTGGCATGGTGCAGGCCCACTAGTGGCCAGTGTAACTGGAGCAGCGTGATACTCTGCTGTGAGAAGCCATATGATTATCATTTTTGAAAAGTTCCCTTTGGCTGCTGGGTAAAATGTGAAGTGAGAGTGGCGGGGGCAGCGAGGCCTGTGTTGAGGCAGGTCTCCAGAAGGAAAGGCCATCTAGAGAGGAGGACTGTGGAGCTTCTTGGGTGGGGGATGTGACCACTGTGGCAAACAGTGGTCATGAGGAGTGACAGTAATAACAGTTGGCAGTGTTCTCTGAATTGATTCAGCTCAGGAATGTGGGTGGGAAAACTCTTATTCCCATTTGGCAGATGAGTAAATGGAGGCCCCAAGGCCACCCAAAGGCTGGGATTTAAATCCAGGCTGCATTACCACATGCTTAACCACTACTCTACGTAGCACACAAGTTAGTATACCCCTTTTATACCCATAGTGCTTAGTACAGCCTGGTATATAGTAGGTTGCAAGTTGGGTTAGGGTGAGCACAGAGAGTAGGGACTTAAACCAGGAATCACTGGCCGGCTCGCCTGTTGTGCAAGTTTTTGGTTGCTGTTCTGGAGCCTGGTTGTTAGGGAGATGGGGGTGGGAGGTAGTTTAGATGAAGATGGGGGTGGGTTCTCAGGACTGCTGCTGACCCCAAGTCACCTCCTGCCACAGCCTTTGTGACGCTGCTGAATGGGGAGCAGGCTGAAGCAGCCATCAGCGCCTTCCACCAGAGCCGCCTACGGGACCGCGAGCTGTCGGTGCAGCTGCAGCCCACGGACGCGCTGCTCTGTGTGGCCAACCTGCCCCCCAGCCTCACGCAGCAGCAGTTCGAGGAGCTGGTACGGCCCTTTGGCAGCCTGGAGCGTTGCTTCCTGGTCTACAGTGAGCACACTGGCCATTCCAAGGGCTATGGTTTTGCTGAGTACATGAAGAAGGACTCAGCGGCCCGTGCCAAGTCGGACCTGCTGGGCAAGCCGCTGGGCCCGCGTACTCTCTACGTGCACTGGACAGACGCCGGGCAGCTGACACCCTGCCTGCTTCACTCTCGCTGCCTCTGTGTCGACCACCTGCCACCTGGCTTCAGTGACGTAGACGCCCTACGTAGGGCACTCTCAGCTGTCCACACACCTACCTTTTGCCAGGTGAGCCCCAATCCAGTGCAAGGAATTGTGGGAGGCAGTACTAGGTCCAGAGCACCTGAAGGGGCCATTGGGAGTCATGTGCCTGCTCTGACCTCCTAGTGTCTTTGTCAGTAAAGCCAGGGCAGTGAGGCTTTGAAACGGGATTTTGTTAGAGTCCATATAGTGTGGTGGGCTAGCACCCAGGGATGAGCCAGATATGAGGGGTTCAAATCCCTACACAACATCAGGTAATTCACTTGACCTCGCTGGCCTCAGTCTCCCCCCATAGAACTTGGAGGAGTGGCTTTGTAGTCACTGGTTGAGAGGCTTACTCAGTCATCTGCTCACACCCTCCTTGGACACTTGTTGGCATCTCCTGGGCCCCAGCCCAGGGCCAGGCATGAGGAGGCCACTCTGGAAGAGCTTACAGTCCACCGTTCCTCGAGGTTAAGGAGTTGGGCTTACGAGTCAGGCAGGCTGGCCGGATCCCAGTGCTTCTTCACAACCTGGGCAAGTCCTGCTTTCTAAACGTTGGTTCCCCTTCTCTGCTCTTTTTCAACACTCACGTACTGGGTCATGTGTTAGATTGGCAAAAACAGTCGCTCCTCATTCAAGTTACATTTGTCAGGCACTTCTGTGCAAAAGGGTAACCACTCAACAAAAGGTTGGCTATTCAAGTCCACCTAGAGTCACTTTGGAAGAAACGCCTAGTATGTACTTTGGGAAAATCTGCCCTTGAAAATCCTATGGGACACGGTTCTGCCCTGACACACGTGGGGTCAGCATGAGGCAGGATCAGCATGAGTTGGAGTCAGCTCCACAGCGTTGTTTTTCCTTGGTGTGCGTGACCATGGGGTGAGATGAGGCCCAGCCCCTAGAGGGTTTCACCCCCAAATAGCCACAGTGGATGCTGTGCAGCCCTCACTGGGTGCCACGCTACCTGGACTCATTTCATCCTTGTAATAACCCAGAGAGGCAGGTATCCCCATTTTGCAGGTGGGGATGCAGGGTTCAAGTGAGGGGCCAAGGTCACTGCAAAAAGGGCATGAAGGCAGCATCTTCTGACCTCCTGTAACTTCACAAGAGGAAGACAGAATCACCATTAGCAGACCAAGGCTGATACCTATGAAGCCAGACATGCCGCCACCCTCCAGCCTTTTTACCAACTCTGACACCATCCGTCCTTCCCACAGTACTCACTGCTTCTCTGATGTGTTTGATAATTCATTGCAGTGGCCACACAGAACTCACAAGACAATTGTTGTTGTTGTTTGCCGTCGAGTCGGCCCCGACTGATAGCGACCCCTCCTTGGGTTTCCGAGGCAGTATCACTACGGAAGTAGGATTGCCCAACCTTCCTTCCGAGGAGTGGCTGGTGGGTTTGAACCGCCTGCCTTCTGGTTAGCAGTCAAGTGCCTTAGCCACTATGCTACCAGAGCTCCCCAATACTCATGATTATGGGGTTTATTAGGGAAGTAACGGGCTACAATTCAGGTTCGGGAATGCGCTCAGGATACAATTCTTTGATCAGGACAGTCTCTCCTCTGCTGTACGCTCAGACACATCTTTCATGGCCCTTGGCCTCTCGGCCTGGCCTGTGCTTCTGTGGCCCAGGTAAGCCTGCTGCTCTGTCTCTTGGTTCCACTGCAACTGTCTCTCTGCTGGGGCATCTCAGCCAAGGAGGTCCAGCACAGGGATCTTGGGTTCTCGGGGCCAAGGACATGCTCCACTTCACCTCTAGCTCTTCTCTCTTGATGGCAGTGAGATCCCTCCTCTGTCTCTACCCACTGCCATTGAGTCGGATCTGACTTATAGTGACCCCTCTGGGTTTCCGAGGCAGCATCACTGCGGAAGTAGATTGCCCAACCTTCCCCCTCCCACTTCTTCCCCATAGTTAACTCTTCCCTGTGTCCATCCCTCCATGAACTCCTGCCCCCTGAGCTGTCTTCCTGTACATAAACAGCCCTTCTTTCTCCCATGATTTTCTCTCCAAGGAATGTATCTACCTAATGTAAATGTTCAGCTCGTATGCCTGTCTTTGTTTGGCTGGAAGCCACAGGTGGGTTCAATTCCAGACCTGAAGGGCAGCTAGGGGCCATAGTCTCAGTGGTTCCACCAAGCTCTATCATACCGAGGCAGACTTATTTTATTTAAGCCTGGAAGAGTGACAGAACTAACCGATCCCGACATCAGAGTTCTACATACCTTATTTGCATGGTCCCACCCAGTAATCTGGTGGGGGTTATAAAGACTCTGGCTAGAAAAGCCATACCTAGTAATTCACTGCACCACAGTCGCACAGCCAAGGCATGGCAGAGCTGGGCTCAGGATAGAAGCTAGGGCAGCCCAGGAAGGGCGGGATTGGCACAGACTTGTATTGGACAGTTCTGGGCTCAGACTTCTGCACTATGGCTCCGGTGGGTCCCTGGCCACCTGATGTAAATGGGGCGTGGCCTGGGATTGGGTACCTAAAAGCCCCCCTTAACTCATGCATCATTTGTTCATTTCACTGCTTCCTGTCATACAGGCTCAGTGCCCCTGGCCCTGTGTGGGGCTGTAGGCAGGAGGTGAAGGGCTTCAGCATTTATACCTTTTTATGAAGAAGTTGAGGACATCAGGGTCATGGCCAGCTGGCTGGTTCTTCTCTCCGAGCCTCAGTTTCCCCATCTCTATATGCAGCTAGCAGTACTTGATGACTGCACTATCATGAATGACTGCTCATTCATTCCTTCGTTTATGCTGTTGTCCGCCATTTATTCAGTGCCTGCTGAGTACCAGGCATTGAAGCAGCCACCACCAAGGAGCTTACAGTCACTCTGGGCATCCTGGTGGAATGGAGGATGGGTTTGGGAGTCAGACAGATGGAGTCTTGAATGTCAGTCACCCTGTTAGGGTCCTGTGGCCCTGAACATTGCCTTTCAACCCTCCAAGTCTCTAAAGTGGGTACGATTGTGAGAAGACCTGTGGCTGGGCCTTGGCACAGGGCCTGGTTGTTGTCCACTTGATTCAGAATCATGGCAGCCCTGTTTGTGTCATGAGCTGTGCTCCACAGGGTTTTCAATGGCGGGCTTTTCAGAAGTGGAATGCCAGGCCTTTCTTCTGAAGGGACTCAAACCACCAACTTTTCAGTTAGCAGCCCAGTGTTTAACCATCTTTGCCACCTGGAGATGCGCTATAAGAGTTAGGCTGTCATTTAAAAGCTTTTTCCGTGTTACTGATTTTTGTGACTGGGTCATCTCACATTTCCAAATTTAACACATCCAGAAGGGTGGGTGATTTAAGTTTCCATGCCTTCTCCAGCAGCTGCCACTCACATACCACATGGGTCTCCACCCAGAGGTGTGGTCAGGCATTTCACACGGATAGGTAGGTGGGTGTGTCCCTTTCCCCTTTTCTCAACCCAGGTAGTGCTGCCCCTGGTTTGGCTTAGTTTTCTCCACTCGATTTATCTTGGGGATCTCCGTGTTCGACATAAGCGCTTCTGTGTTCCTTTTCCGGCTGTGCGGTTTCCACCTTGTGGATGATGTCCTTAGCCCTTACCAGTTACCAGTTGCCATTGAGTTGATTCTGACTCCTGGCGACCCCAGGGTATGTCGGAGTAAAGCTGGGCTCCATAGGGTTTTCCTTTATTTTTTAAAGGCATTTTATTGGAATACAACTTAATGTACAGTGAAATACACAAAACTAAGGTGACATAGGTCATTGTGTTTCTTTTGTTTTTTGTTTTGGCAGTGTTTCCCCCCCCCCACCCCTGGCAACCAACAAAGAAAGTTTCCCTCCATATATAAACCTTTCCTTGACACTCCACAACAACGAACTAATACTATATTTGTCCTTCTGTGATTGACTTATTTAACTCAGCATAAGGTTCTGCAAGTTCATCCGTATTATGTGGTGTTTTGCAGACTGTACATTATTCTTTAGTGCTGAATAGCATTCCATTACGTGTATGTACCATAGTTTGGTCATCCACTCTTCGGCAATAAATCTTAGAGATAAGTCCCTTGCCAGATATGTAATTATCGGCAAATATAAATTTGTTGCTATCATTTTTGTTATGTTTTTTCATGGCATTAATTTCTTTGTTCATATAATTTTCTATGCTGAGCTCGTTTTGTTTATGAATTGTGTTATCACTTCCTTCATTGCTATTATTTTAGTATTTGCTGAATATTTATGCTGGTCCTCTTTTTTGATGGGAAGATTTATAATTTTTCTTTGAGGTTACCCTGTGATTTATAGTTTTCTTCCCAAGTTTAGAGCAGTCCATTCTATCTTGTAGTTGTCTTGACTTCCCTACCATCTAGAAGTTCTGTAATGACATGGTTTTTTCCCTCTTTGTGGTTTGTTGTTGTCCTCATTTGTCAATTGATGTCTTTGGTTCCCTGCTTACAATCTTGTAGGTTTATTTACTTTGGGTACTTCCATAGCTGGGTTGGTTTCTGGGTTATATCATCATGTGTGTTAACGGTCAGTTGTTCTTGGCTGTTGTTCCTTCTCTGTCCAAAGGGCACCTTTTAGCATCTCTTGTAAGGTTGGTCTGGTTTTAACAAATTCCCTTAATTATCTGGAAAGGTCCTAATTTCACCATGTTCGAGGGATGGTTTTGCTGGTTACATAATTCTAGGTTGGAAATTTTTCTCTTTCAGGGTTTTATATATACCATCCCATTGTCTTCTCGCCTGCATGGTTTCTCTCAAGAAATCCGAGCTTAGTCTTATTGTTTGCCCCTTGTAGGTAACTTTTTGTTTTTCCCGTGCTGCTCTCATAATTCTTTCTTTGTCTTTGGTTTTGGTGAGTTTGATGATGTCTGGGTGATTTTCCTTTGGGGTCTATCCTGTTTGGGGTTCGTTGGACTTCCTGAATGGATATATTCTCATCTTTCATCATACCAAGAAAATTCTCTTCCAACAAATCTTTGACAATTTTTTCTGTGGTTTTATTTGTGTCTTCCTGTTCTGGAATTCTGATTACACGTAGGTTATTCCTTTTGATGGTATCCCACATAAACCTTAGGCTTTCTTTATTTTGTTTCGATCTTTTTTCTGATTTATCCCTTTCCAAGGAAGTGTTCAGGTATTTGCCTTCACTCTCCTTAATTCTGTCTTTCATTGATTCAATTCTGCTCCTTTGCCCATTCAATGTCTTACCTATTTCTAAAAATTTAGTATTAATCTTCTGGATTTTTGTGTGTAGATTTTGTATCATTTCTAATTTTTCATTTATTTTGTCATTTTGTTCTTGTTTTTCAGAATTGTTCTAGGGTTTTCTCTGGTCTGTCAATTCACTGAAGATATCTAAATATAATTCCTTTGAATTCATTATCAGGGAGTTCCAATGCTGCGTCTTCCTCAGGGATATGTTTTGGGTCTGTATACTTGTCCCTTGTTTCTCCTGCTTTATCTTGCTTCTTTGTGTGGACTGTGATGCTCTGTTGTCTCCAAGGCATTGTGATGTTTTTGTGTATATATTTAATTGGTGATTATATGTTGGAGTGACTTGCCCATGACTTTCATTTTCTTTGTTTTGTTTGTATGTTATCTACGCAAGCACGGTACTGTGCTCCTCTATTTGCTAGTGGGCAGCACTTATACAGTCACCACCTGTCTCCTTTCCTGTTGTCAGCCTCTTGTATATCCCTGCTGACATTGGCAAACAGAGCCTAGTCTTAGGTCCCTGGAATCTGAATGATGATGCTATCACTTTAAAATCCAAAATGGTTGCCACTTGTAAAGATTCAAAATGGCTACACCCTCTGTCCCTTTAAATATCCAAAATGGCTGCCGCATGTAAACAATCAAAATAGCTGCGCCCTCCAGACAGTGGAAAGTCAACAGCTCAGGTTGTCTCCCCTCTTGCTGCTTCCCTTCCTAGTCATAGGCCACCAGTGCAGTCGTCCCTGCAGCCCTTGGTGACCAGGGGTGATCTTTTTTAGGTCAATTCTCAGGTCCCAACACCACTTGGAACTATTCAGGCTGTTGGTCCCATCAGAGTAGCTGACAGTCCACAGCTTCGACCATCTCTGTACTCACTGTTTTCATTCAGGTTTTTCCACTAGTTGGTGCGTAATCCACTGCTGTATAGTTCCTTTCAAAGCTCAGGGCTCCAGGATTATCTTCTGTATCTCTGTCAATTGGTTTCTCTTTTCTTTGTTGAAGAGGGTCTCTGTCGCTTGTCTGCCTATTCATCCATCTTACCGGAAGTCCCCACGGGGTTTTCAAAGGCTAATTTTTCAGACGTAGATCACCAGGCCTTTCTTCCAAGGGGCCTCTGAGTAGAACCAAAACATCAACCTTTTGTTTAGCAGTTGACTGCTTAACTGTTTGTGTTACTCAGGGATGCCTTTAGGCCCCTACTGATGGTCATTTGGTTTGGTTCCAAAGCCACCTGTGTACCCTCGGGACCCACATTGCAGATGTGTCTCTGGGAGAGCCTTTGACACACTGAGGTAGCCAGTTTCCTACAGATCTTGGGTCCCAGCATCATTTTGGCCACATCTTCTCCCAGCTCCTGCTTTGGTGTGGCCCAAGAATTGCCCATCTGTGAGCTCTATCTCCCCAGGTACAGTGTGGGGTGCTCATAGTGCCTTCTCTGCAACGCAGAGAAACGAGGCCTGTTGTGCAGAGCGGCCCCCCAGTGCAGGGGGGCCCCCTAGCGGGGCCCCGGCTAAGTCCCTCACAGTATCTGGTCTCCTGGCCACAGCCCCCCTACAGTTCCAGCATCCAAACACCCTGAAACCCAGAGACCTATTCCCTGAGTTTGTGACATACTTGCTTGGTGGCACAGCCTGACCTGAGTTGATACGGTGCTGTATGGCCTCTGCCTTTGCATCTTGCTGCAGAACTATCCATGGGCTTGATTTACACAGAGCTTCCCCAGACCCCACTGGGGGCATGCATGGAATACAGTGTGCCACATTCTACCCATCTCACCTCCAAAAAATCCTCAGTCCAGGAGATACCTGGCCTCAGAGTTCCGGCTCCGGGGCCATGAGCCTGAAGTGCAGCTGCAGGGGGCGAGGGGCCTCCCTGGCCTGGCCATCACCGCACTTCCACACTTCTCACAGTACTGGCTGTGTGACCTCTCCTTTGTCCAGCCAGTCTTACCCCAGCTGAGCCTTTACAGCCCCATTACAGTGTCCTTGGCCTGGAGCCTTCCACCTCTTCCTTGGCAGCCCTTCCTCCTCTCTACTATGCCATGTGATGAGGTGGCACTCCAATGTGTCTTGGCAGGCTCGGGAATCCCAGTTGAAGTCTGTGGCACGGTGTGGGCCCAGCTCTGAGCTCTGACTGGTGGCGTGACCTTGGACACACTAACCTCTCTGAGCCTTGGGTGCCCCCTCTGGGAAATGGGCAGGGTGCAGCCCCCCAGGGTGCTTGAGGAGGTGAGATAAGCTGAGGCAGCTGCAGGGCTCAGGACAATGCTGGTGCCAGGTCCTCTCGCTGTCACGGTCAGGATCCACATCCTGGTCACTGTTGTCACTTCACACGAGTCTGTCGCTTGGTTTCTGTCACTGAGCACTTCCCTCTGCCTCCCCACCAGCTGGCGTATGGCCAGGACGGGCAGCTGAAGGGCTTTGCTGTGCTGGAGTACGAGACGGCAGAGATGGCCGAGGAGGCTCAGCAGCAGGCGGATGGGCTGGCCCTGGGGGGCAGCCACCTGCGGGTCTCCTTCTGTGCCCCCGGGCCCCCTGGCCGCAGCATGCTGGCTGCGCTCATCGCCGCCCAGGCCACGGTGAGTGAGTGGGGTGGGGATGGTGCCCACAGAGTGAGCACAGGAGAGCAATAGGCCAGACCCTTCTCCCTCAGGATATTAGGGCCCCAGTGGACACCAGCTGGGCTCTGGAGGTGGGAGCGGGTGGTAAGGCCCCAGTCTGGGCCTGGCTCTGACCTACCTCCCTGCTTCCCTTCAGGCCCTCAATCGGGGCAAGGGACTCCTGCCTGAGCCCAACATTCTGCAGCTGCTCAACAACCTGGGGCCGTCTGCTTCCCTTCAGCTGCTGCTGAACCCCCTGCTCCACGGCAACACGGGGGGCAAGCAGGGTAAGGGGCTGGTGGGGGGAGCAAGTGAGGGCCCCAACTCTGCAGTCTGAGCTGTGAGTGGCAAGGACCTGGGGACCAGGGGCTGAGAGGCAGAGAGACAAGGAGAGCAAAGGTCTCCAGAGGAGGGGGATCCTGCTGGAGCCTGGGCCCCTCCCAGGGGAGCAAAGTGCCTACAGCCAAAAAGGAGGGTGGTAAGAGGGGTGCCCCACCCTGGTGGACTCTGCCTTTCTCAGGCTCCTCAGTTGTCTTCTCAGCTTCAGTTTCCTGCTTTCTCAACAGGCTGAGGCTGTGTTTAATGGGGAGGGTCCCTGCCCATCCAGGGACCCCTGCCCACTTCTCTGCATCTCCCCCTAGGCCTTTTAGGCGCACCCCCAACCATGCCGCTGCTGAATGGACCAGCTCTGTCCACAGCGCTGCTGCAGCTGGCCCTGCAGGCCCAGGGTCAGAAGGTAATATCCCAGCCCAGGCCACCCACCTACCTATGCCACCCAGGCTCCTCCCCGAGAGCTTGCCCCTCCTACACACTCCCACAGCCCCTGCCTGGCAGTGGTTCGTGTCAGTGGGTCGTTTGATTTCTGCGGATATTCTGGTGCCTACTGCAGGGCCTGTGCTCAGGACTTGGGAAGTGACTTTGGGCTCTTGGTCAGGCACAGGCCACCCACAAAAGCCTAGGACTCTTCTGTCTCTTCCCGTCATGGCAGGGCTTCCTTTTCCTGCCTCTCGGAGAGGGTTCCGGGCCTTGATTGCCAGGGCCAGATCTGGGGATGTAGGCACACACCCCTACAGCTGTGGAGCTGAGAGACCCACCGTCAGACACCAGCTCATATCCACCACCTGTCTTCTCTAGCTTTCCTGAGGAGGAGCGGTCTTAGAAGAAAGCCCAGACCCCACAGGGGTGGAATAGCTTCTTGTCACCTCATGCCTTTCTCTCACTCTCTCTCTGGCTCTTTCTCTCTTTTTTTTTTCTCTCTCTTTCTCTCTCTCTCTCTCTCTCTCATTCACACACACACACACACACCCACACACACACCCTGACTGGTTTGGTCCACCGGGGCAAAGTGACAAAAGCATGAGAGTGTGTGCCGTTATGTGGTAAAGAGTGACTGTCACTGTGTGTGCCTAACACCAGTAGACAGTATGAGGTGACAGACCTTGACACTCGAGTGTCTTGGTTCAAGTTCACCTTGTGTGTCCAATACCTAGGATGAGGTGGCCGAGCAGTAGGTCTCGAGCAGTCATTATCTGAACAGACAGATAGTGGCTGGGGCCACTGCCTGCCTGTCTGTGAGTGGCTGTGGGCTGGAGGGTGGGAGTGCTGGGTGGTCGTCATGGCCATCCCCAGCTGACTGTGCTCTGTCCTTAGAAGCCTGGCATCCTGGGAGACTCTCCCTTGGGCCCCCTCCAGCCTGGAGCCCAGCCGGCCAACCCACTCCTCGGGGAGCTGTCTACAGGTAATGAAGGCCCCACCATCTCCCGGCACCGCCCCGTGTCCCCTTCCCAAGGCTGTTTCCTCATTGGAAGTGTCTGTTCTTTGCTGGGTCTGTGTCCCTGTCTATCAGCTGGGGCCACTGTGAGCACCAACGGATGTGTAGAGGCCTTTGCTGCTGCCTAGTGTCCAGCCCCTTGGCCACTAGTGTCTGGTCACCATGGAGGCCCCAGAGTTTCGAGGGAGGGATCCTGTGTGGCTGTGCCACTGACCCCTCTTTCTCTCTGTAGCAGGAGGCCTGCCCCCAGACCTGCCACCTCGGCGAGGGAAGCCACCACCCCTGTTGCCACCGCTGCTTGGCCCCTCTGGAAGTGACCGGGAGGCCATGGGCCTGGGGCCCCCAGCAGCCCAGCTCACTCCACCCGCTGCCCCCACAGGGCTCCGAGGCACTGGCCTCAGAGGCCTCCAGAAAGATAGTGGGCCTCTGCCAACACCCCCTGGGGTAAGGCCCTGCCCTATGCCCAGAGCCATGCCAGCCCCACCCCTACCCCCCTGGCATGGTCCCCTCTGCAAGGGGCCGTCACGAATATGGCCCTCCTGCCATAGGTCTCGCTGCTGGGGGAGCCCCCTAAGGACTTCCGGATCCCTCTGAATCCTTATCTGAACCTACACAGCCTGCTCCCGGCCAGCAATCTGGCGGGTAAGGAGGCCCGGGGCTGGGGGGGCGCTGGGAGGAGCCGCCGCCCAGCTGAGGGTCCCCTGCCTACCCCCCCAGCCCCTGGAGGCGGCAGTGGTGGAGGCGGCGGCGGCAGCAAAGCCTTCCAGCTCAAGTCCCGCCTGCTCAGCCCCCTCACCAGTGCCCGCCTGCCCCCTGAGCCCGGGCTGCCTGACAGCTACAGCTTTGACTACTCGGTAAGTACCCAGCACCCTGTGACCAGCCAGCTATGAGGGGCCAGCTGCTGTAGACTTTTGTCCCCTGAGAGTAATTCATCCTCTAAACTGATACTTCTCCCCTTTTGACTGTGCCAGGTCCTAGGTGAGACTCTAGGGAGATGGCGGGAACATGCTAGATATGGTCCCTGCCCCTGAGTTTGTCTGTCTGTCCTTGGAGACCACCTCTCAAGAGGCCTTAGGCCTTGTCTATTTCTCCCTAGAGGCAGGGCTTAGCATCCTATGTGTCTTTCTGTCCATGTCTCCCCACTTTAGTTCCTGTTTTTGTCCCTGGTTCTAACCTCCTCCACGTCAGAAGGTGTCAACTGGCTATCCACAGGCCGCTTGTGTTACATTTGTTTAAAAAAAAAAAAAAAAAAAACCCTAAAATAAATGCCAATATATAAAGATTACAAGTTCACACAACTTGGGGTCCCAGCTTACCTTGTACATCCTCCACACTTGGCCTAGTGGGGCTCTGTTGTGTGGCAGCTGTCAGTAGGCCCAGGTGCAGTGCCCTCTGGGGCAGGCACATGTCCTGTCTTTGGCCTGTGCTGCCTTCTCATGGCCCTGCAGGCTGAGTTTGCCCCCAAGCATTGGAGTCTGTCTCTGCTGGGCCTCCAGGGAGGGAGTGGGTATCTCTGATGGCAGCTGGGCTGTGACAGTCGGCCAAGAGGGAAAGGGTACACACCCCAACTCACCATGCTTCTCCCACTTGCATTCAGGACGTGGGACCTCGGCGGCTTTTCTCCCACCCACGGGAGCCTGCCCTTGGGCCCCATGGACCGAGCCGACTCAAGGTAAGGAGTGCCATGCCCACCATCCCTAGTTAATTACTGCTATAGAACAAACCATGCCTCTAGTAGTGACTGCAAAATACAAATATTTTTTTAGTTCTCACCACTCTGCACTCTGCGGGGTGGTGGTGGTTCACTGCAGTCACATGGCTACTTGATTGGAACTGATGGTCCCCAGTGGCCTCACTCACATGGCTGGTGATGGGCAGGCTGTTGATGGGATGTGTGTCTCTGCTTCACAAGGAGTCTGTGCCCATTCACTTGCTGTTGGTCTCAGCACTCCCTGAGGAAGTGAGGAGACCCAGTGTGCAGGCTGTATTCACGCCTCTGCTTGCAGCATCTTGCTGCTGTCCTGTTGGCCAAAGCCAGTCAAAGTCATTTGGGGGAATCCACACAAGTATGGGGAAAGCAGGCGTTGTGATTTCTTGGGGGCCAGGGTCACAACGGTCTACCTCAATCAACTCACCCCTCTCTGCAGATGTCCCCCCCACCCAGTGGTTTCGGTGACCGGAGTGGTGGGGGACCCCTCTGTCACTTCTATTCGGGCTCACCCACTTCCTACTTCACCAGCGGCCTACAGGCTGGCCTTAAGCAGAGCCACCTCAACAAGGTGAGGAGCCTCCCAGCCCATGACAAGTCTCCAGGGACACCAAGGATGTGGGGCCCCTGCCTCCAGGGCTCTGTGAACCCTTATGCCTAGTCCAAGGCTGAGGTGGCAGTGGGATTAGTTAGCCTTGCTCAGGACAGAGCTGAAGCGCAGGTTGTTCTTGTCCCAGTGCCTGCAGGTCAAGCATTGTCTCTGTCTAGCCTGCTGGGCTTCCTCTCCTTTCATCCCCTAACAGCCTAGTGTGTAGGGGTACGAGCCCCAGTTGACAGTTGAGGAAACAGGCTTTGCCCCAGATCTCCCAGCTACTGAGCCCCACAGGCGAGGTTTGACCTGAAACCCCTTGCCGCTGCCCTGGGCGCTGCTTCCTCTGGGCCACAGAAGTGACCTGTCCCACTTCTTTCCATGTCTCCCAGGCAGTTGGCTCCTCTCCTCTGGGCTCCGGGGAAGGGCTCCTGGGCCTCAGCCCTGGGCCTAATGGCCACAGCCACCTGCTGAAGGTACAGGCTTGGGGGGCAGGGGTATGCAGGGCTGGGGAGCTGTGGCCCCGGGCAGCCCCTGACCCACCCACCCCTGCCCTCTGTCTCCAGACCCCACTGGGTGGCCAGAAACGCAGTTTTGCCCACCTGCTGCCCTCACCCGAGCCCAGCCCAGAAGGCAGCTACGTGGGCCAACACTCCCAGGGCCTTGGTGGCCACTACGCGGACTCCTACCTGAAGCGGAAGCGGATTTTCTAAGAGGCCAGCAGCAGAAATGCTCAAGGGCCTGCATTTGAGTCGCTTTTGGGTTTCCTGGTGTTTTGTTTTATTATTATTATTTTTTTTTGGTTATAGAAAAATCTCAGAAAGACTTTTCTGACCAACTAGCCAGAGCCTCAGGAGCCCAGGGAGTGTGGGGGAGTCTGGAGCCACTCTGCACTTCTGGCATGCTCCAGGCACTGGAACCTTGCAGCCTTAAGAGAGAGGGGCCTGACCTGCGCTCTCTCCCCTCTGCTGCCTCCTGCCCTCCTTCAGTGTCCATCTCTGGGAGTCCTCTCCTGCCTCGTTGCTCCTGTGTCTCGGCCTTTCGAGTGCCTTGGAGGTCTCCATGACCTCCCGTGAAGATCAGAGACTGCCCCCTTTTTTAACTTCAACAATTGACCTTTGTTTCCTTTTCTAATTTTTTTTTTTTTTTAAACAATCCAGGACAACCCCAGCTCTGATTCCTTCAAGGTCCAGTGTGTCTGGGCCTCCAGTCCCCACTTTTCAGTTTGAATGGCCCTTATCTCTTTTCTCTGTGTCTTTTGCAGGCAAAGCCCCCTCTTGCCCCTGCCTGCCAACCAGCCCTGGGTACCTGACTCTCTGCCATAGTCCCCTTGCCTTCTGATGCCTTAAAGCCAGGCCCCAGGCCCCGCTGGCCAGAGCCTCTCAGATGTCAAGCTCTGGAGCTTGGCTCAGGACCAAACAGCTCTGACCTGGGGATTGGGCCCCTCTTGCTGCCCAGGGTCCCTGCCCTGGGGACAGAAGGGGGTCAAAGCCTTGGTCTTGGCAAACCTACCCTCACCTTTCCACTTAGGTCTAGGTGCAGAGCTGGGCTTTCTCTGCCAGCTGAAGCCAGTCCCCTGCTGTATTGTTTGTGAGCGCTGAACATTGTGCCCAAGTCACTGAACCTCTGCTGTCCACCCCCATTCTGAAGACAAACTCCCCCCCGTCCCTAGGCCAGATCACCCGGAGCTGGCCTCCCTTTGGCCCAGTGCCCCAAACCTCCAACTCCATGCTGATAAGCTTGCTCCCGCCCACCAGCAGGACCTGGCCGCCAGAGGTGACCCTGGGCCCTGCCCCTGGCCAGTCGTGCCACCAGCTTCCCTCCCCAGATTCTGGCCCACCTCCACTGCAGGGGATGGCTGCTCCCCAGTCCCTCACAGACCTTTGCTGAATTAAAGTTTGTAAGTAAATGGTTTTAAAGAAAAAGGCTGACTGGTTCTTGGGGCAAATAATGGGCTTGGGTGGGAGGTCTCGGATAACTCACACTTCTCCGCGGGCCCGAGTCGCCCTGCGCTCCCGAGTCGCCCTGTGCTCCCCAACCTTCACATCACAAGTGAGGTCCCTGCCGCACACTTGACGGAAATAACGGCACTTATACTCAGAGCAATACGGACCTATTGAGGGCGCGGGTGTTGCGCGCGCATGCCTAGTCATTGGGTCACGTGACGCCTGTCATGGCCGCGTCCGTGGCCCGGGTCGGCGTGACTGCCGGGGTCTTGATGCGGGCAAGCAGGGGAGCTTGGTGGAGCAGATCCGGTAGCTGTTCGGGGACCGGAGAGGCGGCTATACCGGCAACAGCCAGGAAATTCCGGGCGACAGGTACCCAGGGTGCCCCAGGTGCCCCAGGCGGGCAGCATTAACCGAGCAGGGCGGGGCGCAGCTGCTCACCCAACTGTGTTTTCCAGGCTCGCGCCCAGCGGGGGACGAGGAAGGTGGCGGCCCGGAGCGGCCCGGGGACGTGTGAGTGAGAGCAAGCCCACTAGTCATGTTGCGAGGTTTCCCTGTTCCCCACGGTGTCCCGCCGCCTCATCTCCAGAGTCCCCCTTGGGTCCCCCCCCGTATATTCCTGTCTATCAAGCCCCAACCCCGAGTCCCTAACCCTGGATTCTGGAGGAAAAAAAAAACAACTTTGCCATTGAGTCGTTTCCAACTCATAGCTTACCCCCATTTGGGTTTCCGAGGAAGTAGATTTCCCCATCTGCCTTTGGCTGAGCAGCTGGTGGATTTGAACTGCTGACCTTCTGGTTAGCAGCAAAATGCTTTAAGCACTACACCACCAGAACTTAATCCTAGATTCTACCGACCCCTAATTCGTCATTTTCACACCTATCTGTCTTCAGGGTGAATGTGGTGTTCATAGACCGGTCAGGCCAACGGATCCCAGTGAGCGGCAGAGTCGGGGACAATGTTCTCCACCTGGCCCAGCGCCACGGGGTGGACCTGGAAGGTGGGAGCCGGGCTCAGGGAATTGAGGAAACCCTTATTCATTTATTTAAAAAAACACAAATCAGGCTATGTCTTTCCGTTGTTTAACCCTCCTGTGTCTTCTCACCAAACAGGGAATTGAATCCAAATTCCTCACCAAGGCCTCAACCCCAGCCTATCTCCTAATCTTCATTCATTCGGTCCTTAGTTATGGAACATTGACTAGAGACAAAAACTCCTGCGTTCCTGCAGCTTGTGTGTTCTTCTCCTTTCCTCTGTTCTACCTGAACTGGCCCTGATGTTTTTCCTCCAACAGCCAAGCTCATTCCTGCCTCAGGGCTTTTGCATTTGCTGTTCCCTCCGCCTGGAGTGCTTTCCTGCCACATCTGCCTGCTGTTCTTTGCAGGTCTCATTGTCAGTGTCATCTTGACAATTCCATCCCCCTTAACACAGCTATGCTCTTAGTATATTTTGTTGCCATCACAGCACTTACTACTATTTTGCTTACTTCTTTCTCATCCATCCCCCATAACAAGAAGCAGAGACCCCATTTGCCACATGTCTGTTGCCTATCATGGTATTTGAATGTAAAAAAGCAAAATCAAGTTGATTCCAACTTTTAGTGACCCTATAGGACAGAGAACTACCCCATAGGGTTTCCAAGGCTGTGATCTTTATGGAAGCAGACTGCTACATCTTTCTCCTGCAGAGCAGCTGGTAAGTTCAAACTGGAGCCCTTAGCCGAGCACTTTAACCACTGTTAAACGAATGGTTCCGTGCTTGGCTGCTAACCAAAAAGTTGTAAGTTCTAACCTACCCAGCAGCTCTTCAAGAGAAAGACCTGGTGATCCACATCTATAAGATTACAGCCAAGAAAACCGAATGGGGCAGTTCTCCTCTGCCCCATAGGGTGAGAATCAACTCCCAGCACCCGATTTGAATGTAACAAGTGTTAAGTCAGTGTTTGTTGAAGAAATAATAATAGCAGATACTGCTTTAAAAGCACGTTAACGTACTGGTTAACTCTTCATGTAATAGAGGAGACTGTTACCCCATTTTATAGATTAGGAAACTGAGTTCCAGGTTAAGTAGACTTGGTCCAAGGTCAAGTAAGTAGCAAAACTCGGGTCAGACCCATCTCATTGTAATGACTAATCTGTGCTGTCCTTCTCTGAATTTTGAGTACTTACTGTGTGCCAGGCACTGGGACAGGGCAGGGGAGGGGCTAGGGAGACAGCATTGTACAAGACAGATAAGACCGCTGTCAGCTCTCACCAATTTCAACCTAATAGGGACCATGTCCAATAATTCCATGAGTAAACATTATATCGTAAGCCACTGGGAAGAGTGGTCTGGAAGAAAATGTACAGGGTTTATCCATTATGTGTTTGGAAGCCTGATTGAACTATTAAAGCTATCAGCTCTATGTGGATCAGGTGAGGGGATCAGGGCAGGCCTACCTCAAGTTGTTCTGGAATCCAGCCAGCCCCTAGACCAGCTCCTTATGTCTGGGAAGTCAAGATCCTTGTCAATTCAGGACACACATGGGAAGTTTTAGAAGAAAATGCTTGTGTCCAAATTTTGCCTCTTACCAGCTGTTTGGGAGCTCTGGTAGCATAGTGCCTAAGGCAGTTGACTGCTAACCAGAAGGCTGGTGGTCCAAACCCACCAGCCACTCCTCAGAAGGAAGATGGGGCAATCTACTTCCGTAGTGATACTGCCTTGGAAACCCAAGGAGGGGTAGCTATGAGTCATCTGACTTGATGGCACATAACAACAACAACAACCAGCTGTTTGGCCCTGGGCAAGGTGCTTAGTTTTTCTGGGCCTATTTCTTTATGTATGAAATAGGATCATTTAGTTCCTATTTCACTGGATTGCTGGGAGGATGAAACAGGTCTCATGCACATGGTTAGTGTGCAGTAAATAACTGTGCTTATTGTATGATTAGATAATTTCAGTGTCCTGTGATGAGGAAGCTAACAAGGTAGGAAGTGGTTGCATAAGGGAGATTCCTGGGTACTACTTGGGAGTTTCAAGGCCCAGACATTTTGGCCCCAGGAGTCCAGGAGGGTGGGCAGATTAGTCACAGAATCAGTGGTAACATCTGAAGGCAAACAGGGCTCGATCCTCATTGCAGGATATGTCTGGAAGAGGGAGGAGAAAAGGAAGAAGAGCTTAGCATGCTCCTGTTCACGTATGACAGATGGTTCTGCAACATCTACAGCAGGCCAGGCTCGGTGCTAGGTACACAGAGAGGGCAGGCCTCTGGGGCAGAGGTAGACCCAGAGATCAAGATGGTTAACTACAGATGTGATAAATGCTGCACAAAAATTAAAAGGAGGTAATGAGGGAGAGAGGGACAAAACTAAGGGACAGGTGAGTTGAATCCCCAAAACTAGAAGGGCCCACCGTAGTAAGAGTGCCGATGAGCGCATCCTAGGCCAAGGCAACAGCAAGTGCAAAGGCCCTGAGGTAGGGATGAGCTTGGGTGTGCTGGAACGGAGTGGAGTGGAGTGAGCAAAAGGCAGAGTGGGGCAGAGTCTGGGTTTTATCTTGGGTGTGAAAACCCTTTGGAGGGTTTTAAGCCAGGAGGGACATTATCCCCAAGCACAGTTCTCTGATCAGAGGGTTGGGAGTGTGTCCAAGGGCAGGTGGTCATCAGAAGGGCAGAGTTTCAGGCAAGAGCAGAAAACCTTGGGTTTGGGAGATTGCAATCCTTACCCCTGACTCCTCCCCTACTGCACTGGGTTTGGAGTGAGGCGGTCCCTCCAAGAGCAGAGGGGAAACCGTGAGCAAGGCCTAAATGGAACCCGCCTGAACTTTCCCCTTCCAGCTACATGGAGATGAAGTCCACGCTCAGTCATGGTTCCCCATTCTCGGCCAGGTCCTTGGCCTACTGGGGAGTCCTTGGGAATGAGACTCTGGACACTCTTTTGTAAAAAGGAGGGGCTGGCTGAGTAAATGACACCGTGGAGCACACACACAGGGGGTACGCAGGCCCGGGAAGGAGTTGGGAGGGCTGCTGCTTTCTGTCCCCCCCAGAGGCACCTGCCTGACACACCTGCAGTGACTGCCCCTTGATGACAACCCCTCCCTCGTTACCCCCAGGAGCGTGTGAAGCCTCCCTGGCCTGCTCCACCTGCCACGTGTATGTGAGCGAGGACCACCTGGGTCTTCTGCCTCAGCCTGATGAGAGGTGAGCAGGGCTAGAGGTGCCCCCGAGGCTCCTGCAAGGCATGGCTGGCGGCTGAGCCTCTGGATCCCGGGTGTGTGGAGGCCCATCTGGGCAGCAGGGGCAGGGCAGCGCCAGCTCTCTCCCCACCTCCTGCTCCCCCCGACATTCCTCCCTCGGTTGCCCTCCTCCCCAGCAGGGCAGTGCAGCCATAGCTAATGCTGCCCCCGTTGCCCCAGGGAGGATGACATGCTGGACATGGCCCCACTCCTCCAGGAGAACTCCCGGCTGGGCTGCCAGATCCTGCTGACGCCTGAGCTGGAGGGGGCTGAATTCACCCTGCCCAAGATCACCAGGAACTTCTACGTGGATGGCCACGTCCCTAAGCCCCACTGACATGGGCAGTCACACTGTGCCGGATACCAAGGCCCCAGGGCCAGGATTGAGGAAGGGTTCTGCTGCCAGCCCAGCCCAGAGCAAGGACAGGCCGCCAGTCGACGGAAGGACCGTGGAAGCCAAAGTCCCTGCCTCAGAGAGACCCAGGGCCAAGCTCTGGTGGGAACAGGCTCCTCCTGGGGTGGCTTCTCCAAGACCCCAGAAAATCAGGGTGGTGATAGTGGTGGAATCGAATTGGAGCCACAATAAAACTGTTTTACAGACTTCCGGCATCTGACTGTCCTTAGGGGGGCAGTCTTTGGGCCTATTGCATCTTCATGTTCCCATCTCTCCCTCAGGGGCAGAGACGTGGGCCACAGGGGAGCTGGGGCTGAGGCCTGGGGAGAGGCCCTGGCCCGGAGGCAGAGCCCATGTCGGTCAGCCTGGCAAGGCCCCGCCCCTGGATCGCGGAGGGATTTGGAGAGGTTGAGGGCGCCCTTGTCTGGAGGGGTTTGCTGGCGATACAGAAGAGCCAGAAGGGGGACTGGCGCTGTGGCAGGCCCAGCCAAGGCTTGGAAAGTGGTGCTCAGCGCCCCCTACCAGAGACGCCCTCATCCTGCAGGCCTCTTCCACCCAGGTGGGACTCATTGAACCTCCTGCCAGAAGTACCCCTACCCCTCAGGCCCCATCTCTCTCAGGTGGGGCTCATCGGGTGCCACTACGGGGTGGGGGGGTGAGGTGAACATTAGGGACAGCTGGGGCCCGGCTGGGCGCCATGGAGGCCCAACTATCCCCAGACTTCTCCATGTTGCTGCTGCGAGAACTTCTGGCGCCACCCTGTCTGGAGCCGGAGCCGCTCCCAGCGCCCCTCTCCAAGCGGGAGCCAATGACCCCCGGATGCGGATGCAGGTTTGTGAGAAGCGGCCCCTTCCCACAACCCCTCCGCCCTTTCACCTGGCCTAGTGGTCAAGTGGACCTGGGGTTACCCAGGGGTCACAATGTTAGTTACTAGGATTTACAAAGGGGTCATCTGGGGTCGTAGAGGGGTCAGAGACCATGCAAGTTCCCCTCCCCCCATGTCTGTCAGACACAGGGGTCACTCAGAGGTTACAGAGGGTAACCCAATAATAAGGATAACAATAAAAATCATAATAGCAACAGCACACAGTTCCTAGACCCAGCATGGGTTGGAATCGTGACCCATCCACCCAGCAGCTGTGGGCCTGCCTGGGCCTTGGTTTCATCCTCTGGGTAATGGGGCTGGTCCTTTCCTTATTGAGTTGCTGTGCAGATTAAGTAATCCACATGGACGCTGAGAACAGTGCCTAGTGCATGGAAGACACTCTGAGTTTACTGATAGCTATCCATTTTTAGACCTTCCAACAGGCTGGTACTAGATTCTGAGCCCCTGGTGGGGCGTAAACCTGCCCAAGGGCACTCAGCCAGCAAGGAACAGGGCACAGCTTGGAACCCAGGCCTTCGGGACCCCTGGGGCTCACCCAGGGTTTGCTTGTACTCAGGTCCACCTCGCCTGTGAATCAGGCCTCAGTCACCACCTTGCGCTTCCTCCAGACGGGGAGGTCCTGCTGGGAGCCGATGGCTGTGGGGACCCTGGCCAGGGACACCAAGGACATGCCTACCTCAAACAGCCACCAGGGCCATACCCTGGGGCCACCCAGGACCTCCCCAGCCCTGTTGGCCCTGTCGCGGAGGAGGCCCAGGAAGCAGCCAAACCCGCTCCGGGGCACCGAGAAGGTGGACCCTGGGTTTGAGGGGGTGACCCTGAAGTTTCAGATAAAGCCGGACTCCAGCCTACAGATTATACCCAGTTACAGGTAGGGGCTGTGCCGAGTGAGGGTGCTGTCATACAGGTAATAATAGCATGGGGGGGGGCAGGTGTTTCCAGTTATGTGCCCTGGGACTTCCACATTCCCCCCCTGCTGTCGAAGGGCAAGCTCAGGCCCACAGTGAGGGTGTCACTTGCCTCATCTCACTGGGCGAGACCTCAGTGGCTGCTCCGGTGCCAGCCCTGCTGCTTCCTGAGCCAGGCACATTCCCTGTCAAGCCCCGTCTGTCGTTTATGAAATGGTCCTGACCAGACCGAGCTGCTGCTGCTCCTCCTGTTATTCCTGCCACTGTTTAGACAGTTCCAACTCACAGTGACCCTGCAGGACAGGGTAGAACTGCCCATAGGGTTTCCAAGGCTGGCACCTTTACAGAAGCAGACTGTCCCATCTTTCTATTGAAGAGTGGCTAGTGGGTTCAAACTGCCAACCTTTCAATTCGCAGCCAAGCACTTAACCACTGTGCCACTAGGGCTCCTTGATGATAATAATTTAAAAAAAAAAAAAAAAAAGAACATTGCCATCGAGTCGATCCTGACTCATAGCGACCCCCATTGGGTCTCCAAGTAGATTGTCCCGTTTACAGAAGTAGATTGTCCCGTTCCTTCCACAGAGCAGCTGGTGGGTTTGAACCACCAGCCTTCTGGTTAACATCCAAATGCCTTAGGCACTGCACCACAAGAGCTCACTTGATAATGAAAACTGCTACCGTTTAGCAATAACAACAGTAATAATAAGTAATGGGTAGCAGCTGACATACATGGTCTCTGAAGCCTGGGAAGCCCATTTTACAGATGAGGAAACTGAGGTACCAAGATAGAAATAACTTGTTCAGGGTCCCACAGGAGGATGTGGGAGAGTTAGGATTTGAATTTGGCAGGCTGGCCCAGGCTTACTACCCCTTAAGATAAGTTATTATTTTACTAAAAGTCCCTGGGTGGCACACAGTTTGCACTCTCCCACTGACCTATTGGTTGGCAGTTCAAACCCAGCCAATGGCACAGAAGAAAGGCCTGATGATCTGTTCTGTAAAGATTACAAGCAAAAAACCCCTAGGAAGCACTTCTCTGAAACACATGAATTTCCATGATTCAAAATTGACTCAAGGGCAGTGGGTTTTGGGTTAAAGGAAGGCAAAGTGAGGCCTTTCAGACATTGGATGCCGCCTCAGGGGCTGCTCAACACCTTGATAGTCAGTCTTTATTTCGGGGGACTGTCTGGGACAGAGCAAAGAGCCCTCAACGTTGACGCCTTGTCTACCCCCAGCCTGGCCTGCAGCAGCAGCACTCAGGGACCCCCTGCAGGCCCTGCCAGGGGCCCCGAGGCCGGGGCCGACCAGGGAGGCAGTGAGGCTCTTGGTGAGTCCTGGGGTCTTGAGAGCTTTGAATATGTGGGGGACCGGTTTCCTGTCTTCCCTGTCTTTATCCTGCCCCTTGCATCCCCATCCCTGCTTCCCCATTTAGACCCATCAGGGAGGAGTCACAGCACCCCCCCACACACGAGGCTGAGTCACCCCCACCCCCAGTTTCCTCTCTGCCAAGGCTCTGCCATCTGTCTCCCTGCCTGGCTTTTCCTCTGCTTTGGATCCAGCAACCCCCAGGGCTGGCCCAGAGCCAAGCAGGGCCTCCACAGAGACCCCCAAAGCACCCCACCCCCCACCGGCTTCCTGAGCCCAGACTCTCTCAGCCTCTGACCTCCTTTTGACCTCTGCCAATTCAGGGCCCCGGCGCTGCGCTTCCTGTAGGACCCAGAGGACCCCGCTCTGGAGAGACGCTGAGGATGGGACCCCGCTCTGCAATGCCTGTGGTATCAGGTCTTCAGAATGGAGGAGGGGGATCTCTAGATCAGCTCATGCTTAGCCAGCATGGGAAGGAAAAATACCTACCTCTTGGGGGAAAGTGGCTTCCTTGTGGCAGTTTCTGGGCCCCTGCTGCATCCTGAATGGTGTTTCTTGTCCTCCCCCCACCCCCCGCCGCCAGGTACAAGAAATACGGCACCCGGTGCTCCACCTGCTGGCTGGTGCCTAGGAAAAGCGTCCAGCCTAAGAGGCTATGTGGCAGATGCGGGATGTCCCTGGGTTCCCACCAAGGTCCAACTCAGGCAGGGTAAGCCTTTTTTCACCCAGCCAAGCGTGGTCCTGCCTCAGTTTCTCCAGGTGGAGACTAGGCAGAAGCTTTACTGGGAGGGCCAGAGAAAGAGCCTGACGTGAGGCCATGTCTGGAAGGGAGGTCACACTTCTCTGATCGGCCTCTTCTTTGCTCCTTCCCCCCCATCTGGGGATCCTAGGTGGAAGACTGTGGCCTCAGGCCCCAGAGCCCCTCAGGGAGAAGAAAAGGCTGGGGACCCTGTCCCAGGGGGCCATGCCCCCCTTCCTCAGCCCCTGCTCCAGTCACCGTGGACTGTCCTTCCACTCAGGAAGCACTCTCAGCAGCGATAATCACTATGTTGTTAACATGGTAACGTGGTAACAATAAATAGTAGAGCTACTCTGAGAGACAGAGCAGTTTTGTTTGGGAGCTCCACCTTGTACCCATCACCTTCTTCTCCTCCAGCCCAGGAACAAAAAGGCAGGTGTTCCTCATTGGGGTTCTGAGGGGCACCACAGTCACACACAGACACAGTCATCTGTACCTAGGTGACATTCATCACCAAGTACCACATGGAAATAGCCACTACACACTCAGACACGTGCTGACGGACACACATGCGACAAATACATACAAAACTGACACAAGACAGATACACACATGTCCATGAGACAGACACGCAGGACAGCCGTGCTGACAGACACACATGCACATGACACACAGGGCACACTTGCTGGAGGACACATGAGATACACAGACACACAGTGCTGACGGACACGAGACAGACACAGTTGTACTGATACACACTTCCACAGACACAGTGTGACAAACATACCTAAAGATGACAGACACATGCAGATACACATACAAGTGAGCCACTCTGTCTCCCTCACGTGCACCTGCAGACTGTCCCCTACACTGCAGACCTTCCTGCGCAGGCTTGTGCACACCCACCCCTGCCTGAAGCCAGGCTTTAGACAGGCCTTGAAAAGCGGGGTGGGACCAGCCTGCAGGGGAAGGCCTGGGGCCCGGTTCCCTCAGCCCATGGATTCCTACTCACTTAGTCCCTCCCTTCCTCAGGCCTGAACACCCTCTCCTCGAGGAGGATGTTCTTCTCATCACTTGTAGGGGCTCAGCCCCACTGTCACCTCTTCAGAAAAGCCTTCCTTGACTACCCAGTCCACACCACACACCCCCACTCTCATCTCATTTCAGCCTCTATTTCAGCTCCTTCCTGGACTCCCTCTTAGGGAATTGCCATTCTGACAGGTTCTGTGTGGCCAGGGCTATTTCATTCACTTCATCTCCCCCACTGGAGGGTGATTTCCTTGAGGTCTGAGGCCACTTCATCTGTGTCCTTGACCATCATATCCATTGTCCTCAAGTCTATTCCAACCCACAGCGCCCCTAGAGGACAGAGGAGAACTGCCCCATAGGGTTTCCAAGGCTACAGTATTTATGGAAGCAAAGCCCAAACCAAATCTACTGCCACTGAGTAGATTTCAACTCATAGCGCCCCTAGAGGACAGAGTGGAACTGCACTATAGGGTTTCCAAGGCTGCTGGGAGCTCTGGTGGCGTAGTGCCATCAATTTGACTGCTGACCCAAAGGCTGGCCATTCAAACCCACCAGCCACTCCTCAGAAGGAAGACTGGGCAATCTGCTTCTGTAAAGTTACCATCTCAGAAACCCAAGGAGGGGTAGCTATGAGCCACAATTGACTCAACGGCAGTGGGTTTGGATTTTTTTTCTTTTCTGTCTTTATGGAAGCCAATTGCCACATCTTTCTCCTGCAGAGCTGTTGGTGGGCTGAAACCGTCAATCTTTCAGTTAACAGCCAAGTGCATGACCACTACCCCACCAGGACTCCTATTTAACCTCATAGGTCTCCCCTGTAGCTGACATGGAGAAGCCCTTTGGGAATACACATTGAATATGTGAAAGTCTCAGACTGTGTGTCTGCTAAGTTTTGGCTGTTTTTATCCATGTATTCAACATTCGGGAGCCCTAGTGACACAGTTGGCTGTCCTGTGCCAGGAAGTTTAGATTTCATGTGGTAAACAAAGGGACAGGACCTATTTGCCTAATGATTTATTAGACACCTACTGTGTCTAAAAGTGCCTTAGTGCCTAAGGCTCTTGACTGCTAGCCAGAAGGGTGGTGGTTCAAATCCACCAGCCACTCCGCAGAAGGAAGGTTGGGCAATCTATTTCCATAGTGATCCCACCTTGGAAACCCAAGGAGGGATCACTATGAGTTGGACCCAACTCGACAGCAGTGAGTTTGTTTTTTTGGTTTTGGTGTACTGCAGGGACAGTAGTGAATCCAGCAGACACCCTTGAGATCCTTGTGGAGCAGTGCTGAGGGATCAGGATGGGGAAGGGTGAGGTCTCCAGGCTGTGGGTTTGAACCCATCAGCAGTTCCATGGGAGAAAAATGTAGCCCTCAGCTTCCGTGATTTACACCCTTGAAAACCCTCTGGGTCACTTTTACTCTGTCTTGTAGGGTTGCTTTGGGTCAGACTCCGTTAGATGGCAACAGGTTTGATTTTGGTTTATTCCCCATTTCTTGAGTAACTGCTGTCTGCCAGACCCCAGTGGGGACACACAGCAGTGAATACAACAAAGATCTCTCCTCTAATGGGCTGATGCTCTAGACCAACAATAAAGAAATATTCAGTATCTGTCTAATGGAACTTCAAGTAGTGATTCATATTACAGAGAAAAATAAAGCCTGTAAGGAGATAAAGAGTTAATGAGGCTACCTCAGCCATGGTGATCAGGGAAGGCCCTCTAAGGAGGTGACATTTGTGTAAAGACGTGAAGGACGACTGTGGGACTGTTTGAGGTGGGAGTGCTCCTGGCAAAGGGCACAGCATGGACAAATGTCCTGAGGCAGCCTGGACTTTGTGGGGTGCAAGGAACAGTGTATTGGTTACTTAATGCCACTCTGGCAGGAATATACCACAAATGGGATGGCTTTAACGGACAGGAATTTATTCTCTTACAGTTTGGAGGCTTTAAGTGCCAGGCTTTAGGGGCTGAGTGAAAGCCCCTCAACTGTGGGCTTCAGCTCTGCCTCCTGCTCCCAGCCCACTGAAGCTGGAGACTTTTCTTCACTCAGACAGCTGCTGGCTGCTGAGCCTGACACACCCAAGGATGACAAGTAAAAAGGCACAGTCCCAGTGTTACCAAACAATATGGCAGGCCATGGATTCAAGTCCATTGAAAGTCCCAAGATTAGTTGAGCATGGCAGGCTGCTGAACAACGACTCAGCTACATGCAGGGTTCAAGCATGCAGTAAGCTGAAGACCTTCCTTCAAAGTTGCTTCTTCTGTGGTGGAAGCAGCCCACATCCCTAAAGCAGCTACTCAGCTGCTCCAATAGATTCCACAATGGAGTTAATTACCAATCTCACCACGGGGAATAACTACCTCCAGCTGCCCAGCCACTCAACCAGGCCCAGCCAAGTTGATATGCAAACTTAACTACCACAAATAGTGAGGTCAGGGGGATTGGAAAGAGGCAATTAAGGGGAACAGGTGGAAGAGATAAGGTGGGGGCCAGCAGGGGCTGGGCCATGCTGGGCCTCCGTGCCTTCTGTACCCCACACCAGCGTTGGCTTCAGCTTTCGTGGCCCATTTCCTGCTCTCACTTTTGTTCCTGGTGTTGGTTTTCAAGTGGATGACCGACCAGGGCCTGGGGAACAGATGGAATGGGAGCTGTCCAGGCTGCCTCCTTCTCTAGGGCTCTGTGTTCCTGCTTTTGAGGGAAGAGGAGGCTGGAAGAGGGAATGGGGGAGGAGGTCCACCTGTTGTCTCCGTATGCTGTTGGGGATGAAGGGAATGGGGGTGTGTAGGGAGAAGTGCTGCTGGTACCCTATGCCTGTTCTGAGTATAGATGGGCCAAGTGGAAAGACAGGTTGGATAAACAGATACAACGGATGGACACAGGATGAAGGAGGCATTGAGGGTGGGGTGGAGGAGGTGTGCTCTTTAGTAGTAAGGACAACAGGAGGACCGACACTCAGAGCTGCAGCCACTGGCTTCCTCCATCCATCACTGAAAGCCTGTAGACCCAGGGAAGGCAGCTCTGACTCTGCCCATCCTGCCTAGGTGGCCTCGGCTTTGCCAGTAAAGGCGCCTGGGAGAAGCCCCTTGCCAACACCCCAAGACTCAGCCGGATCAGCAGGCACCTCTGAGCGGAAGAGATAAAAGAGATAAGCAACAGGGAGTGGGAGGAAGGAGCTTGGTCCCCACCCCTGTCCAAAGGTCCATGAGAACAGGAAATGGGCACAGAGAGGGCACGCAGCAGGCTCCAGGTCACACCCAGGAGACAGTCTGGCCTGTGCCTGACACTTAAGAAAACCAAAAAACAAACCCACTGCCATCAAGTTGATCTTGACTCATAGTGAACCCCCTGAGGTTCTAAATCTTTACCGAAGTAGGTTGTCCAGTCTTCGTTCTGCAGAGTGGCTGGTGGGTTTGAACCCTCAACCTTCTGGTTAGCAGTAACATGCCTTGGTCACTATGCTACCAGAGCTCCTTGTGCCTGACACTGAGGCCCTTAAAAAACAAAGTTTTGAAAAAATGAATAACCCACAGGATCGGGATTAGAACCCAAGGCTTGTTCCACATGGCAGACCCAGTAGCAGAGGGGGCGAGGATCCTTTATAAAAACTTTATTGGCGAGGGAAGGGAGGGAATAGAAAATATGGGTGTCGTCCCTGGAGTTGAATAAATAAATAAATGAGTAAATAAATAGAACAATAAATAAGCCCCCGTATACTTTTGGGGGGCGTCCCCGGGCCCGCGGGGAGAGGCGCGCGGGTTACGCCGACGTCAGTTGAATGGCGAAGACCTCGCCCCCCGCCGACGCATCTGCTGAGCACGCCTCCTCGGGTCCACCTTCCGAGCCGGGGCCCCCACCGGCGCCACCGCCTGCGCCGTTGAGGCACACGGCCTCGCCCGAGCTCTCGGCCTCTTGCACGTTGTACTCGCCCTTCTTGCAGGCCGTAGACTGCACGTAGAAAGCCAGGCCGGCCCCCGCGGCCAGGAGCGCCGCGCCACCCGCCGCGCCGCCTATGGCGACCCAAAGCCACGGACCTGCGGACAGAGATCTAGTTGGGGCGTCCCATCCACGCCCTCGGCCCGACTCCAACCCTCTTCCACACAGCGTACGTGGAGGGGGAAGCTGGTTAAGTCTCCAACACGCAGAAACGCCCCTCACGCTAATTAAGTCCCCAACGCAGCCAAGGCCTGGAGGGTCCACTCCCTCCATTCCCAACCCCCACATCAGCAAGCCATCCACAGCCTCACAGTCAGGGCGCCCCTAACTTCGACCCTGGCCCACTCAGGTATCAAGTATGGGGACTGAAAAGGAGGCAGGGACGCTCCACGCCCACGTCACACACCGGCCCCGCAGATCCCTCCACCTCCCCTACCTGCCACTTACCGGCCACGCGCACCGTGATGCGCCGCGCGTGGCGCCCGTGCGCGTTGGTGGCTGCGCACTCGTACTCCCCGCCGTGACTGCCCATGGCGCCGGCCACGCTAAGCGTGCTATTGTTGCTCGACAGGCCAATGTTTGGGGCCCCCGGGGGCGCGCGCCAGCTGATCTGAGCAGGGGGCCACGCCTCCGCGCGGCAGGTCAGCGTGAAGTTCCCGCCAGGCCGCACGCCTCCGGAGGGCGAGGCTGCCAGCTCGGCCACCACTGGCCGGTCTGCAGGGGACAGGAGGCTGGAGGGGGCTCAGCGCCTCTTTCTGCCCACCACAATCAATCTGGGACTACCCCCTTGGGGCTGGGATGGGGAGAGGATCCTGTCTCGCACCAGAGCCTCCTCCCCCAATAAGCCAACAAAAGACCGTAGTCGTAGTCGGGGGAGAATCCTGTCCCCTTTTCCCCACCAACCGGCAGGAAGACACAGGAATGGGAGATGGAGATCCGCACCAGTGTCCTTCTGGCCTGGGATTTAAGGGGACCAGGCTCCTTTTCCCTAGAGGCTTATTACCCAAGATTTAGGTTGGGAATCATTGCCTCCAAGAATGGAATTGGAGGAGATGCCCCCTGCAATCCATTGGGTCTTCACTGCTGAGAGCCACTTTCCTGGGGTGCATAGTCCTCTCCACCCACTGCAGCCCCTACTCACATTCCACGCCAACGGTGACGATCCGAGTGTCTGTGCCGTGAGCATTGGTTGCCACGCAGCGATAGATTCCTGCATCATTTCGGGATACACGCTGCTGCTCAGGCCAGGCCGTGCCCTCCCTCGAGCAGCGCACCCGTGGGGAGGGTCGACCATGTGAGGCACAGGCAAGCCCAGCCACCTCAGCCCCTTCCAGCCATGTCTGGTTACTGGGACAGGTTGACTCATCCATCTGCGGTGCCGCTGCAAAGCCATGAGGGCGTTAGGGAGAGATCCAGATTGCCGGCCACCCCCAACCCCCCACCCACCTGGGCCCCGCTCACACTCCACGCTCACGGAGACAGTCTTGACCATAGAGCCATGCCGGTTGGTGGCGTTGCAGATGTAGATGCCAGGTGCCAGGGCCCTGGGGATGCTGGAGGCTCTGGGAGTAGGAGCTGGGGATGCCAGTGGCAGCAACAGTCCCTCACTGGCACCCCCAGAACCGATGCACTCCAGGCTTGGCTCTGGCTTCCCGTCGACCTCACAGGAAAACAGCCGCTCAGACCCTTCCACCCATGTCCAATTGCTGGGGCAGCTCAATTCTTCAAAACTGGGGCCATCTGGGGGTCAGTGGTGACACACAGGCTGGAAGTCAGGCCTGAGTTGTCCTGATAGACCCCATCTCACCCTGTGGTGCCCCCACTCACATTCCACTGTGACAACCACATTTTTGGCAGCAGAGCCCCGGGAGTTGGCGGCTTCACAGCGGTAGGTGCCGGCGTGCTCCCGGGCCACAAGCAGCGGCCCCTCGATGATCCCATCCACAGAGTGCACACAGCTCACGGAGGGTGGTGGGACCCCATGTGCCACACAGCTGAGCGAGGCCTCTGTTCCCTCCAACCATGTAAGGTGCTCTGGGCAGCCCACACTGTCCAGCGCCGGCGCATCTAGGGCGTGGCGACCACAGTTGTTGGGTTTGGGGTTTTTGGCACAATGTCCCCATACCCTCCTCCATTCCATGGCCTCACTGAAGGGTGGGAGCAAGCTGTGCCCTGCACAGGGACACTGAGCCAAGGGGGAGCTGTGCTAGTCAAGCCATGGGCTCTCCCTTAGGGCTTTGTGAACTTTAAGAATGTCTTTCCCTGATTTCCACAAACCACTCACAGGACCCATCCTGAGCCTTTGCTATCTCAGGCAGTCCAAGGCTCCGCCTAAATGCCACATCCCAGACCTTTATGTAATACTTGGGCCTCCTCTTTTCTGAAGATCTTCCCGTAAGCACTTAAAGGTACCACACCAGCCTTTTCCCTTCTCCCAAATCCTGTCCAAAGGCACACCTCAAACCCTTCCAGACGCATCTCAGACCTTGTTCCTACTTCACTTCCCTTGTAGACTGACTACACCCTGACCCTGAGAACAAGACAGGGAGGCACACTGCACACCCCCACTCACACTCCACCGTCAGCGTCACGTCCTTGACCGCCTGGCCCTGGACGTTGGCCGCCGTGCAGCGGTAGGTGCCGGCGAGGGCACGAGTGACTGGACCCAGCAGGCCCAGCGCCAGCACGGCCCCGCCCTGCGGCCGCGCGCAATGCACGGAGGGCGCTGGGTTTCCGCGGGAATCGCAGCGCAGCGTCTGCTCTGGGCCTTCTGGCCATGTCCAGCTCCTGGGACAGTCCTTATCGTCCAGCCGCGGGGCATCTGCGGCCAGGAGGGGATACAGAGTGAGATGTGGGCCTTGAGGAAAGGCCCTGCCTCCACGATACCGCCAGAAACCCGGCATGTCCTTTGAAGTAGGAGTGGGAGGGCGCGAGGGGATTAAAGCTAACTCACATAGGACACGTAGCTCGGCGCTCCGATTCTTCCTCAAGGTCTCCTTGTCCACCTCGAGGGTAGCTTCGCAGAAGAAACCGCGTTTGTCGTCATTCTCGGTGGCGTTTAGCTGGAGCTGGGCGGGCTGCCCAGGGGCCAAGGCTTGAACTCCATCCAGCGTGACCAGAGCTCGGGCCCCAGCTGTGCAGGTAACGGTCACCGTCGTCCCCTCTGGTGCTACAGGTTCGCTTAGTATTAGGAGGGGCTCCGGGAAGCCTAGGGACCGGACATGGGCGAGGAGTCCACTGACCACGCCCTTCTCACCAATCAAAGCCCCTCTCTATCCTCAGAATCCTCCAGCAACCAAACGGAGAGTAGCACGCCCGCTTCTAGAGACAATCACGCTCCGCCCTCATCATGCCCTGCTTCTCTGAGCTGAGTCAAATCTCAGAGATCCATGCCCCATATTGGGGCAGTTCAGACTCCTCTCCAGCTACACAATTCTGATCCCCTATCTTCCGGCCAATCGGGCCAAGCCTGCTCCAGCAGCATTCATTCAATAGAGGCCCCGCTCCTATCCCCCTCGTCCCTCCTTTGCGTTCCTCTGGCCCCGCCCCCAGGCGCGGAGGCCCCGCCCCTCTCCCGCTTACTGTAGATTGTCACGTTCTCCCGGGTCTCGCGGCTCTCGCCCCCCAGGGTCACGTTGCAGACCAGCTGCTTGGTGCCTTCTTCCTCTGTGCGCGCTGTGGCAGTGGCAGTGGCCGTGAGCGCGTCCCCCTCACTCATGACTTCGGGACTCAGCCTCTGGTCTCCCAGTGCCAGGTATACCCGGGCCTCAGAGGCTGGGAACAGTCCGTCGAGGGCGCAGCTTACAGGCTCTTCCAAGCCCACCTCCATGAGTCGGGGAGCCGCTAGGCGCGGGGGTTCCGGAGACAGGGCTGGGGGTCGAACAATAGAGCTTGAGCCATGTATCTGGCACTCAGTATCTGCTAAGCCTTTGCATGAACTCTTACTTAATACTCACAATCATATAATAAGAAAATACTAATACCATTCTCAAGGAGCAAAGAGACAAACAACTTTCGGCTGGCAAGTCTTGAAGTCGGGATCAGAACTCAGGTCTCTCTGCCTCTAAACTTCTTAAGCACCGGACGGACCCCACTTGGTCTCCTCCTCCCCACACCCACTCACCGAAAGTCCGGAGCTGTCTGGGGGCCGAGGTGTTTTCAAACAGTCCCAGCCCGTGCGGTCGCAGGTCCAACTCCGCGCGACATGAGAAATTGGCCTCATGGTCCTCTCTCCGCGCCAGAACCGTGGCGGTGAGCACCGCGCCCCGCGCCCTGGGCGGCTCCCCCGCGAAACTACGGCGGATCAGCTCCTGGGCGCCCCGCAGCAGGGTCAGCGTGAGGCTCCCACGAGGTCCCGCGCCGGGAACCCTACAGCTCAGAGTAAAGTTCTCGCCCACAGGCTGCCAGGGGGGCAACGGCACCAGCTCTACGCGATCCGGTCGTTCTGCAGAGGAACCGCGGCTCTTGGCAACGCTTAGGGCTTAGTAGCCCAAGGAGTGGACCCGAGGGGGGCGGGGGCCAGGAGGCAAGGGCCTTGGGAACCAGAGGGTGGGGTAAGAAAGCGCAGACCCTGGGACCCTGCAGAAGTCTGGAACGGAGGGAACAGACTAGGATCGTGGCGGTGGAGAACTCACGGAAGGTGCGGATGAGCCCACGCGCCTGCAGAGTGCGCCGCGCGCAGCGGAAGAAGCAGACAGGCTGGGTCTCCGGTTCACGGATGTCCACAAGCTGCCGTGCAAGCCAGCGCAGACCCCTCTGGGTCCCGTTCCGGCGCAACGAGGTCTCCAGGCCACCGCGCTCCGGCCGTGGACAGTTGGTGCTGCAATTCAGCCACAGCGACCCCCCACGCTCCACGAGCGCCACGCGGGGCTGCAGGTCCGCCCAGAAGGGCTCCTGCGAGACCACTGCGCGGGGAAATGCGGGCTCAGTCTGGGGAAGCTCCCTCTCCGGAATCTGAGAGGCCCTAGCCGAGTCAGGGGCCCCAGGGGGACAGGCGGAGGCCAGAGTCAGGGCAGAACCTAGGAATTCCAAGTCCAGCCCCGACCTCAGATTTGGAGGCGTGCTCCCAGGGTCCAAACCTCGAGGATGTCTCTAGGACATGGGAGGGGAAAAGCCCTGGTCTGCATGGGGCCGATGGAGTGGGGGCAGTGAATGGGGGGAGGTGCAGAAGGTCTTCCGCACACTACAACGCTGGGAGGAGGGGCCTCCAGGTGGGGGGAGGGCAATGAACCGGTTCTCAGAGTCTTGGCACATCGCGGGGAGAGGGAGAGACTGAGGTTGGGGCAAGGGCAAAGGAGAGATGAGGCTGGGTCAAGGATAAGGGAGCACCCCACATCCTGATGAAGAACATGGAAAGAGGGTGCAGGACTGGACACGTGCAGGCGACAGCGGGAGCAGCCTTGGGACCCGGTTGCCAAGGCTGGGGGTGGCACGGAGGCAGTGCCTCTGAGTCACGATAGTTGGACAGATCCGGTCTTCAAGGACCGCGAGTAGGGAACATGACAGCCTGTGGACCATGGTGCCCAGCAAAGTTGGGATGGTACCCTGGGAAGGGGCAGGAGAGAGACGGGGCCTCCAGGGCGCGAGGCCGGGTAAGGAAGAGCACTCAGGATATCTCGAAGGGATAGGCAGAGAGCTGGCACGCTACAAGTCAGGGAGCCGGGTCTCGGGTGCATGTTGGGAGGAGGGAGGAGGAGAAGACTCGAGGCAGTAGCGTGAAAGCGAGGAGCAGGGCGGAGCCGGGAGGGGCACGCGGGCGCTCCTCGAGTCCGAGAACTCCGCCCTCGCCCTGTCCACCCTCGGCCGGGGCTGGCTCTTACCTGAGAGGCGGAGGAGCCCCAGGCTCAGGGCAGCCCAGAGGCCGAGTAGCGCCCGACGCAGCCCTGGCCAGGGCCCTGGCATCGCCGCCGCGGGGGAAGCGCAGGAGGCGAGGGGAGCGCGAGCCACGAGCTGGGCTAGAGGACGGCGCGGCGCGGCGGGTGGGGTGTGGGGGAGGCAGAGTTGCGCTCGGGGATTGGCTTAACGTTGGTAACTTGGTTTCCAAGGAGGGGGCGGCAGTAGAGGCGGCGGGGGGCGGGAGGGGGGAGCGTGCGCCAGGCTCCGGGCCTTGGCGACGGCGAGCTGGCAGGAGCGAGCGACCTCCGGGGTCTACAAGGAGGCTCACCCGAGTGCCTGGAGCCTTCTGCGGGCGGCCGCGCGATCCCTTGTCATCCCTGGCGGCGACGCGGAGGTCGGAGATGCTAAATTGCGCTTCTTCAAATCCCTACCCCACCCTTACCTTGGATGCTATGCTAATGAGCTGGTCTCCGAACTCCGCCCACCTATTTAGCCCCTCCCACCAACGCCCCTTAGGCGGGGATTGATTTGGGTTTTAGGAGAGGTTTGGGAGGCGCAAGATGAGTTCAAGGAGAGGGCTTGGGGCTGCCGCCTTCACTGGTCCTTCCCCTTGAGGCCCAGGGAGAGCTGAGGGTTTCGGCCACGTTCTTTCGTCCCCCTCACGATCGCCCCGGCACGCGACGGAGGGGGAGGGGACAAGAGTGCCAGCAAGCTGGGGACACGTGTGCATGCGCGCAGCGTTCACAGACGTCTAAATTAGGGTCGGCTCGGCTCCGGGTCTGTATTTTCCCAGCGTGCAGCGGGCACGTGTCTACTCGGCGTGTGTGAACGCGAGCGGCCGAGGAGCGCCCCTGAATCCGCCTGCGGCGCTGCAGGGAGAACCTGGACCATGAGCGCTCTGCCAAGCACCCTATGTGGGCCCGGAATCCGAGAAGTCAATTACAACGTTTTTGACACGGTATCCCGGCCCCAAGCTTGGACAGCCCCCATGTCCCACGTAGCCCTGTGACTCCTAGGACATTGCGATTCGAGTCTAACACCCCACGTGGACCATCTGATTTCCCCTTTTTAGCTGTCACCACATGACTGCATATCCGCGTCTCTCAATATGTCCATGTGACCCTGTCCATTTGTGCTCTCACCTCCTGAACTATAGGGACGATTCTCCCTCTACCCTTGTCCTCCAGGAAGTCACAGGGTCTAAAGTGGAGGTGGAGTGAGGAAGGAAATTTAACAACCAATCAGGGCTGCTGTGTGGCAGCCTCGGAGACAATCAGGAAAACCCATTCCATGAACCAGACCCCTCACGCCCTCCAGGGCCCAGGCTTTGCACATCTGTGCTGCGCTGATAGGCCTGCAGAGGGAGAGTGTTTTACCACATCGACTGGAAGTGCAGAGGAGTTGGGCTCTGAGGACTCCAGGTAGGCCAGAGTGAGAAGACCTCAAGTGGCCTCAGGAAGACAAAGAACTAGGAGAAGGCGATGGCAGCAAAGCCAGAGAAGACCACTTCCTCAGAGGAGATGCACTAATGGGGAGTGGTTAGGCCGGGAGATCGAGCCTTTATTGATCTGGGTAGATCTGAGGAAGACTTTATTGATCTGGGTAGGGTTCCCCAAATGGCTCCAAACTTTTTCCTTCAGCTCAGCCTGTGTGAACCATTCCGCCCTTCCCCCTCCACTCTCCCTTGCACCCGGGCCTGCATCACCCGGCGCTTGCGCAGGTAGGCGGCTCCCAAGGCCAGAAGGATCCCCGCAAGGACTGCGATGGAGGTGAAGGACAAAGCTTTGGACTTGGTGCTCCAAGCTGAGGGCAGGAGGTGGGAATCAGGAACTAAGCACAAGAGTCTAACATAGGGCGCAAGGAGGGGCCCATTGCTCTTCTGGGGTCAAAACTTTCCCACCCCTTTCCACCAAGTCCCCAGGATTACAGAGGTGCCTCACCGAAGGCGGTCAGCGTCACGGGTGCCGAGCTGCTACGGACCACCAGACCGTCAAGATTGAGACGCGCGTGGCACGTCACGGGCTGCCAGAGGTCGCAGGGCCCAGAGGACAGCACGTAGGTCAGCGTCACATTAGCCAGACCAAGGCGCGTGAAGCGCTCCAGGCTCTCCGAATAGATGACTCTGCCACCACGCCGCAGGGTCACCACCAGGAAGCCCACGGGGAACACATGTGTCACGCGGCAGCGCAGCGTGTATTCGCTACCCACTAAGACCGGAGGCTCCAGGATTACGCTGTGTGGCTGTTCTAAGACAGGAAGGGGGCTGCTGAGCAAGGCTTGCGGGCGCCCCCTAGCGCGATGGCCAACCGCCCCACCCCCCCACCGCTCAACTCATCCCTCGCCTTTGACCCTCACTGTAAGCGGTGACTCTTGCCGTGGCCCAGCGGGTTTTTCCCTCGCAGGTGATGAAGCAACGCACGTCAGAGCTCCAGGCCCTCACGTCCAGCAGCTGGTAGGACATCCAGCTCAGCCCACTGACCGTCTTGCCTCGCTGCAGCTGAGTGACAAGTCCGGAGCCTTCCGGTAGGGGGCAGCTGCTGCTGCAGTTGAGCCACACCGAGCCCCCCGGCGGCACTGCCACCAACTCCGGGCTTAAGCGAACCCAGAACGGCGCTGAGGTCACTGAGGGCGAGACGGAGCTGTCCCTCGGCCCTTGCCCCCGCGCAGCCCGAAGCCCCCGCGCGCTCCCGCCTCCGGAGTAGGCGGCCGCCAGCAAAAGCAACAGCGAAAGGGGGAGCAGAGACCTCATGGCAAAGAGCCCGAAATGAGGGGCCCTGCGCCAGGGAGCCAGGGCTGGCTCAGGAGATAAAGAGGTCGGCAGTCCCTCCTCCTGAACCCCGCCCAGAGAAGGAGGACCCCAGAAGGCCCAGAAACCCAGCAGTATATCTTCCCCTCCCTCTGCCCAAGCTCAGGATTGCAGACCCCTTATAAATTAAAAAGCAGCTCTGGTGGCTCATTGGGTGAGTTCAGGCTGCTAACCCACCAGTACATTCTGCTCTCAAGATTTACAGCCTTGGAAACGGTATGGGAGCAGTTCTACCCTGTCCCATGGGGTCGGAATCAACTCGATGGCAGTAGGTCTTATAGACCAAATGTCAGTGTGTTTTTTTGGAGAGGAGTCTTTATAAGTTTTCATTGGAGTCCAAAGAGGTCATGAAAACCCCAGAATTGGATCAGAGCCCCAGGGTTGGGCCTTGACCAGCAGCCTTCTCTTTGGGGAGGAAGTGGGTGGGCGGAGCATTGATGAGCTGCTAGAAAGGGTTCCAGCTGGACGTGACACCTCCCAAGTCACAGAAGGCATGGGGTAGATGAAAATCCTTTATTAAAGGGCGAGGAGGCTTCCAGAGCTGGGGCCAGGTCCTGTGGAATCTTGGCCTCCCTCCCCACTGCCTGCAGGGCCTCCAAAACACATGGAGTTGCAAGGGTGTTGTGTTCTCCTTGCATGGTGCCACTGAGGCGGAAGATGGTTGGACAGGGCAGGGGCGTAACTGAGTTGGGTGTGGTTCCATGGGGCTCTGTGGTTTGGCTGTCAAAGAATGGCACCCATGGTGAGGCATGGCCACCAAATGTCATTGTAAGCACTGGGAGAGATATATTTGGTTGGGGAGGTAGCTGACAGAGATCAGTGGCAGTTCTAGGGATGGGGGGAATAAGGGCTTCGTGGGTCATCCTTGGGCATCCTGGGCAGCCCAGTATTGCTAGTCCACAGAGAGCTTTTGTGCAAGATAGAAAACGTTGTCCCTTCCCGGGAAAAACCACATGGCCAATGGAGTGAGGGGTTCCAGCCCCACTTGGTCTTCTGGCCAGACACCTCTGTATGGTACACAGCCAGTACAACTGTACCTGGCAGCCCCCAATGAGGTTGGATTGAGAGCTCCCTGAGGGCAGGAACCTACATTCACCATTCTAGCCCATGTGAAAGGCACTCAATAAATAGCTGGCAAAATAACAAATGAATAAATATGTCAGCGTCAAGAGTCTGTGACAGTCAGTGGACAGTAAGTAGTTCTGGAGCTGGCAGCTCTTGGAGGAAATGAGGAGATGTGCATTAGGGGCACAAGCAGTGAGAGGTGAGTGTCACCGTTTCTTGGCTGTGTGTCTCCATGGTGGGTTTACCCCCATGGTGGGGGAGAGGCTCCCAACACTCCCTCTCTGGCCAGGTAAGACTTTGACATCTCCACAGTCATTCCCCAAGTCTTGTTTCCTCCTGCTGGCTCAGTCTTGTGGCTACAGATTCGGTGGGAGGCCTGGGGGTCCTAGGTGTGCAGATGCCATGACCCCAAGCACTGTCTTTATGCCAGCTGACAGCACTCTCCTGTCCTCTGGCTTCCGGAGAAGGTGCGTGTAGCTGAACGGTGTATATCCACCATGTTGTCCAATGCAGCGGCACTGCCACTGTGTAGGGAAGCCAAGGAGGAGGCCAGTCCTGGGCTGGGGTCAGGGTGGCGTGTTCATCTTCAAGGCCTCCTGGGCCTTCTGTAGCTTGTATTTCCTGATCTTCCGCTGACGGTTATATAGGTAACCAGCTGTGCCCGCAGCACTCAAGAGGAGTATGACTATGGCTGCTGCTGTAATTATGATGCCCCAGTTGACTTGAGAGTCTGTGGAGAGGACAGAGAGGGCTGTCCAGTGAGGGCTGAGTTGGACCCCCTGCGCTGCCCTACCCCCAACCCCCTCACAGCCCTGAACACTTACAGAGCACATTAACGACCACTTGGCGAGTGACTTCACCACGTGGGCTCATGGCCTGGCAGAGGTAGGTGCCTGCATGTTCCCGTTTGACAGGCCTCAGGTCTCCGATGGGCAGTAAGAATCCATCTCCTTTTCGGTGACATTCCAGTTTTGGGAGTGGGTTTCCCCAGGCCTGGCACTTCAGCGTCTGCTCAGAGCCTTCCTGCCACGTCCAGTTTCCTGGGCAGTCCCCCTCGTCTAGTCGGGGGCCATCTGGAGAACCACGGAAAAATGAAGACTAGGGGTCAGGAACCAGGACACCTTTCCCCACCCAGGACTGGAAGGCTTAGGTAGGAATCTGGAAAGAGGGATGGGGGTGGGAGCAGGCCTTGGAGGGCAGGAGCTTATGGGGTCTTAGAGGTTGGGCACTGAAGGCAGAGATCATTGTTCGACTCACACAAGACATGGAGCTGCTGGGTCTGGTTCTTGTACAGCGCTTGCCCGGCTACCTCCAGGGCAGCAGAGCAGAAGAAGCTGCGCCCATTGTCCTCGGGGGTTGCGTTAAGGTGGAATTTGGCTCTCCAGGGAGGGGTTGGGATTGGGGCTGGGACTAGAGCTGGAGTCCCACTCAGCGTCACTACTGCCGCAGCGTGGGCCTCACAAACCACGGTTACCACAGTCCATTCTGAGACCACCAGCTCACTCAGGGTCAGGTTGGGTGCCGGGAAACCTGGGGGAAGGGCATACATTGAGCTCCACCCCACATCAACCCCACCCCTTGGAAGCCCCACCTCCTCCCTTGCTTACTGTAGATGGTCACTGTCTCCCTTGTCTCCCGGCTCTGGTTCCCCAGAATTATTGCACAGGCCAGCTGCTGGGGTCCCTCTTCATCGTTGTCTGCCCTGACCACGGCTGTGGCAGAGAGCATGGACCCCCTGGATGTGATCACGGGGCTCAGTCGCTGGTCTCCTAGGGCCATATGGACCTGGGCCTCCCACACTGGGAACACTCCTTCCAAGGAACACTTCACAGTTGATGCTTCACCTGCCTCCAAGGTCCGGGGATTGGTGAGGAGCGGATCGGTCACTGGAAGGGCTGAGGAAGATGGGGCGGGTGTGAGGAGAGGAGACAGATGTCCTGTTGCCCTTTCCTGGAGCAAATTCCAAAACCCCACCTGGAACCCTCTTCCAGGGACACCCTGGGCATGGGTCAGACACACAGCTAACAGCCTTCTCAAGGGTCCTGGCCACAGCCACCCTATCCTAGGACATCCCACCCTAGAGGCCACAGGCCTGCTTTCTCAGAAATCTTTGCAATCCAATATGCTGCAGCCAGGGGTCCTTCCTCCACAGGAGTTCTGCACCCCCAGTGGGGGCACCCCGCCCCCCTAAGCCCTCCCCCTGCATATGCACCCCAATGCCTCACCAAAGGTTCGGAGCTGCCTGGAGGTCGAGCTGTTCTCGAATAGTCCCAGCCCTTGGCGCCGCAGGTCCAGTTCCGTGCGGCAGGAGAAGTTGGCGCCGTGGTCCTCCCTGCGCGCAAGCACTGTGACCGTGACCTCCGCGGGCTCCCCCAGCGCGGGCTGCCGGCTCAGCTCCTCCTCCCCGCGGAGCAGCACCAGCGTGAGGTGGTCCTGGGGCGCTCCGCCCACCACCTGGCAGCGCAGGGTGAGGTTCTCGCCCACCGGCTGCCAGGGAGGCAGCGACGTCAGCTCCACGCTCTCAGGGAACCCTGCAGGGAGTGGGGTATCTGTGAGCTAGATGGCGCCCTCTACCGGCAGGAGCCACTGGCCCGCTGGCCGCACGTCCCTGGCAGCTTCCCACCCTCTACTCTCTCTGGGAAACACGCCCCATCACCTAAACCACACAGGAGCGCAGAGGCCTGTGGACGGAAAACAGCGCCTATGGCAATTAGTTTTAAATTGCCAAACGATCTCTCACAGCTGGGGTTGGAAATGGCGATGGCCAATAGAAAGTGCTCACTGGCATTCCCCCTTCCCGTCAGGTGGCGCCCAGGGCACTGGCATACCTGTCATACCCTAGACACTCCTCTGTTGTAATGTCAAGAACACAGGGAAACCAGAGAGAAGGCCCCAAGTGTTTGTGAAAGGAACGGAACATTCTTCATTCACTAGAGTATCTTAAGAGTGAAAAATGAGGAAGAACCTAAAGGCAGACATCAAGGGTCTGCCTGGTCAGACAAATATGGGACATGGTCCACTGTTATTGTTGTTATATGCCGTCCAGTCAGACCTGACTCATAGCGACCCCTCCTTGGGTTTCCGAGGCAGTATCACTATGGAAGTAGATTGCCCTATCTTCCTTCCGAGGAGTGGCTGGTGGGTTTGAATCACCAGCATTCTGGTTAGCAGCCAAGTGCCTTAGCCACTATGCTACCAGAGCTTCCTCAGGTCCACTAGGCATTGTTTAAGATGACCCCTGCCTCCTCCTCCTTCTCCATAGCACCCATCACTTTGTGACACAGCAGATAATCTACTCAGTTAACTGGCTTCTCCTGTTTTCCCCATAGAATGTCAGCCCCGGGAGGGTGGAGTTTTTGTCTGTTTTGTTCCTGTTATGATTGCACACAGTATGTGCTTTTTTTGTAGAATGAATTAGGTTGAGCTTTCTGTACTGACCTGATGCCTCCCTTGAGGGGAAAAATGACCAAATTCACCCTTTGGAATGTTCAAACAAACAACCCACAGATGCTCAAAGTGAAACTCTGAATGTCCCCTCTACACAACAGGTGGGCTCAAGTTTTCCAGGCCAGTCTCCTTTCTATATAAGGACACAAATCATGGGATCCCAAGGCCAAACCACCAGTGGAAATTTACAACAGAGCTCTGATGAGTTACTACTAAGACCACCAGGTTCTCTAGGGAGAGGGTCTAAGGCCTTCTGCTTCCTATTCCCTTTCCAAGAGCTAACGGATTGCTGGTAAAATGTCAAGGGCTAGACGGGCCTGGGTTTGGTTCATGGCCTTGCCGGTTATTTAATGTGGGCTGTGGGCAAGTGACACTGTCTGAACCTTAGTTTTCTGAGCTGTAAAATGGGGCTATTAGGGGTAGGATGATTATTTAGCCACTTTAGAGGTTAAGAGAGTGACTATAAGTGAGCAGGAGGTTTCTTCTTGGGGTGGTGGGAGAGGTTCTAAAATTAGAATTGTGGGGCGGATCGTCAGCTCTGTGTACCACACTAAATTCATTTAACTGTATCCTTGAAATACAAAAAAACAAAACAAAACAAAAAACACCTCACTGCTGTGGAGTTGATTCGATTCATAGTGACCCCTCCTTGGGTTTCCAAGGTGGTATCACTACGCAAGTAGATTACTCAATCTTCCTTCCAAGGAGTGGTTGGTGGGTTTGAACCACCAGTCTTCTAGCTAGCAGTCAAATGCCTTAGGCATTACACCACCAGAGCTCTTATTGAAATACCAAAAAACCGAACTCACTGCCCTCAAGTCAGATTCAACTCATAGTGACCCCTCCTTCGGGGCACTATCACTACAGAAGTAGATTGCCCAACCTTCCTTCCGATGAGTGGCTGGTGGGTTTGAACTGCCAGCCTTCTGGTTAGCAGTCAAATGCCTTAGGCACCATGCTACCAGAGTGTTAATTCTATCTCAATAAAGCTGCTTCAAAAAAAAGGGAGGGGGGTAGTTGACAAACCTCCAGATCTGGCTCTTATCTCTAAGAGCCTGCTGCAAATTTCAAGTTACAGAGCTTAAGGCTCTCTCACACCTCAGCCCCTAAACGGAATCCAAGAGCTCCCTACACCTGCTCCCTGCCTTGAAGATCTGGGCCAGGAAGTGAGGGAGAGGGAGCATGCGGGGTATGTGTTGGGGGGGGGGTGAGGGAGGCTATTCTGACTCCCATCCTCACTCTGGTCATTCACTAATCCTTTGACTTAATTCTTCAAATATTTGTTTGCCCCTCTCTTCCTGTATAAGGCATGGATAAGGCTCATGACTGCCAGCTCCCTGCTTTTCTGTAAGTCCAGCCTTCTGCTTTCTACATTTCTGGCCTGTTCACACACCCTCCATGGCTCCCCATTGCCCCGAGAGGGAGAAGGTCCCAGTTTCCTGGCATTCAAGGCCCTGCCTCAAGTCAGCTCCAGCCAACCCGCTTCCCTTCATCCCCCATTGCCCATGAGGACGTTTCCTGACTCTAGACCGTCGTCCAGGTGATTGTCTCTGCCCTGAGTGCTTGTCTTCACCAGCTCTTACGGATCCTTGAGTCTCAGAAGGGGGCCGTCTCCACCGGGAGGGGACAGCTCTAACCTTTCTGGAGACACCTCAGCCATCCGGGAATGCTCCCTCATCTTTATCTGTTGATTTCTCTCTCTCTCTCTTTTTAATCATTTCTAATTGTTATTATAGGTAGGTTGTTAAACAGCCTTGTTGTTAGGTGTGTGACCCCATGTGACAGAATGGAACTGCCCCACAGGGTTTCCTGGGCTGTCATCTTTATGGGAGCAGATCACCAGGTCTTGCTCTCATGGAGCTGCTGGGTCTGTTCAAACTGCAAACTTTTCAGTTACCCAGCTGAGGGCTTAACTGGTGTGCTGTCATCTTTACACCAAGAGTAGGGCAGAGCCAAGCTAAAGCCTTTGCTAGGTTCCGTTTCTCAGAGGAGGTAACTAAGGCATTCGTGCAGTCAGTGACAAGAAAGGTGAGAGAGCCAGGCCTCAGACCTAGACTGCAGGCTCCCAGTCATCAGGCCCAGATGCATAAAGTCCTTCTAGAAGGTTTCCCAGCTCACCAAAGGGGTTTTTAGAGGAATGTTTGGGGACTTCTGTCACTGGGAGTGTGACCAGCATCTACACAAACACCCCTAAGTCAGAAGCAAAGCCAGTATTTGCTCAAAGGCTTCCTCTACCCTGACACCATGACTGTGAAACACCTTCTATGCCCCAAAACTCCAAAACCACACTCACTGCCATAGAATCTATTCTAACTCATAGCAACCCCCTTTGGGTTTCCAAGGCGGGAAATGTTTACGGAAATAGATTGCCCAGTCTGCTTTCTGTGGAGTGGCTGGTGGATTTGAACCTGCAGCCTTCTGGTTAGCAGTCAAATGCCTTAGGCTCTAGGCCCCACCGCATCCTTACACCTATTCAAAGTGGTCCCCCGTGATGCGGAAGGAAAGCCAGAAGCCATGTTTCCATCCTCCTCCAGCTAGTGATAACCCAAGGCCATTTCCTCCCTCCTTTCCTCCCTCCCTTACCGTTTTGTTTTTTTTAAATCAGAACTATAGCTATTTATTTTTGCCCTCAGTAACTCATTCTTATAGTTCAAAATCCCCGAAGTCAGTCACAAAGAAAAAAGTCCCTCCCGCCCCCTGGCTTCTCTCCTCACGGCCAACTAATCATGTGCCACTCCTTACTTTTCTATTCAGGACTTTCTCATGGATAAAGACAGCCTGCCCCCCTCGCTCCTTAGCAGAGGGCAGCATTCCACTCATACTGGGCGTACTTTAAGCCAAAAACCCAACCCATGGCCGTCGAGTCAATTCTGACTCACAGCAAGCTCATGTGTGACAGAGCTGGACTGCTGCGAGGGGTTTTCTTGGCTGTAATCCTCACAGATTACCAGGCCTTTCTTCCACACCACTAGGTACATTGAAACTACCAACTTTTTAGTCAGCAGCCGAGCACAAACTGTTTGCACCACCCAAGAGCCCACCTCACTTCTTTTGCATTCTTGGAGCCCACCCTCTTCTGGCCCATAGGGAGTTTCCTCATCCTTTTATACAGCTGCATACTAGTCCACTGGATGTCCACACCACAGATGCTTTCCACAGCCTCTAGATTGGAGTGGTCTGCAAACTGTGACCCACCCTTCCAAACAAAGCTGTAGTGAATAACTTTGTCCTCCCACCAGTTTCCTCGTGGGCAAGGACATGTGTAGCACAAACTGCCAGAAGCAGGATTTCTGTGCCAAACGGCACATGCACATGTCATTCCGAGAACTGACGTCAACTCTTATTGCACTTCTTCCAGCCGTGTCCCAAGGCTGCTGGGACTCTGCCTTGCCAGCACAGCTGTTCTCAATCTTTTGATTGTTGCCACTGTGTGAAAAATGCCATCTCAGGGGTAGTTTTCATTTGTATGTTCTTTTCAAGATCAGCTCCCGGGCCTTGTCACGCATGTACTTCAAGAGTGACGTACAGAGAGCTGGCTCTCTCGAGTATGCTGAATCCCTGCCTATATTCTACATACACTCACCAGAAACCACACCACACCCACTGCCAGAGTCGATTCCGACTCATAGTGACCCCTTAGGACAGAGAAATGCCCCAAAGGGTTTCCAACACTGTAAATCATTACAGACGCAGACTGCCTCATCTCTTTCCCAGGGAGCGGCTGGTGGGTTTGAACTGCTGACCTTTTGGTTAGCAGCCAAATGCTTTAACCACTGCACCACCAAAGCTCCGTATATATACTCGAGGAGGTTTAAAAAGGGGCTTTCCAAATGACACTGGGACTTTCCAAGGGTCACCCTTTAGTGATACCCTCTCCAGCGCCACCACCAAGCACCAAAGCAGCCTCTGCCCGCCTCCTTCCCGGTCAACCTCGTCCAGCCCACCCCCACCCCCGGCCACCCACTCACTGTACACTGTGAGGTTAGCTGACGCTGTTGTCTGACTATCACCACAGGTTGTAAAGCACATTGGGCTGCTGTCCTCTGTCACGTTGCTCAGCTCAAAAATCTTCCACTTGTCCCCACGAGCCACCTCTTTCTTTGTCAGTGTTGTCTCCAAGCCCAATGTGATGGGCTGGTCACAGGTGGTGCTGCAATTCACTTGCATGGAGCCTCCTTTGGGCAGGATGGCCTCTAGGGGGTGCACCAATGTTTGAGCACTTCCGGATCCTGGAACGAAAGGGTCAACTGACTCTGGGGAGGGGGCGCGGGCATTAGGAATCAGGGGCCCAGCCTCTGCTGGGTGCTGGAGAGACAGCAATGAACAAGACAGAACGCCCTGTCTTCAGTGTGGGAGAGAGAAAAATTCATGACCAAACAAGATAATTAATTACGGATGTTAATAAGAGCTTTGACACAAACAAAACAGGCTGATAGAACAGACAGTGCCTTGTGACAGGATGATGGCTGAGCACAGATGCATGATAAGGAGGCAGCCATCCAGGGAAAAGGGAAGTGAGTTCCAGGCAAAGGGAACAGCAAGTGCAAAGGCCCCAACGGCAGGGTGGCTGCAACTGAGTAAGCAAAACTAATCAAACACCAAACCCACTGCCATCAAGTTGATCCCAACTCATAGCAACCCCCATTGGGTTTCCAAGGCTGTAAATCTTTACGGAAGTATATTGCCTCATCTTCCTCCTGAGGAGCAGCTGGTAGGTTTGAACCGCCGACTTTTTGGTTAGCAGCCAAATGTCTTACCCACTATGCCACCAGAGCTCCTTCAAGTAAGCAAAACCAACCAAAAAACAAAGCTACTGCCATTGAGTCGATTCCGACTCATAGCAACCCCCACTGGGCTTCCAAGGCAGTAAATCTTTATGGAAGTAGGTTGCCCAGTCTTCCTTTTGCAAAGTGGCTGGTGAGTTTGAACTGCCAAACTTTTGGTTAGCAGTGAAAAAAAAAAAAAAAAGCCCATGACCATCAATGTTGTTGTTGTTGTTATTTGCTGTTGAGTAGGACCTGACTCATAGTGACCCCTCCTTGGGTTTCCGAGGCAGTATCACTATGGAAGTAGATTGCCCTATCTTCCTTCCGAGGAGTGGCTGGTGGGTTTGAACTGCCAGCCTTCTGGTTAGCAGTCAAGTGCCTTAGGCACTATGCTACCAGAGCTCCCATCCTAACTCATAGTGACCCTATAGGACAGGGTAGAATTGCCCCATAGGGTTTCCAAGGCTGTAAATCTTCATGGAAGCAGACTACCTTATCTTTCTCCCAAGGAGCAGCTGGTGGATTTGAATTGTTAACCTTTTGGTTAGCAGCCAAATGCTTTAATCACTAAGCCCACCAGAGCTCCTGCAAAGGGGACAAGTGGGCGGAAATGAGGTCTAGAAAATCATGTGGGCAGGGCACGCTACCCCAAAGGTATATTCTCTATTCTGAGGGCGAAGGGGAGCAGGGGAGGATTTTAGCCGAGGAGGGACAAGAAGCAAAGCAGTCGGGGGACCTTCTCCCTCCCAAGAGATCAGAAGGGTAAGACTGCAAGACGTAAACAGCAGGAACAAAGCCCAACAGACAGGAGTTCAAATCAGGACGGCTTCTCACTCCCTTGGCAAATGCTATCTCCTTTCTGGGCCTCAATTTCCCCACTGTAAGGTAGGTGAGTGAGTATAGTCAGTCACCACACCCCCTGCTAATGCAAGTGAGTTCTACACAGGCCAAGTAGCAAGGGGCTGTGGGTAAGAAGGGGGACTGTTGTTATCTGCAGCCTTGGCAACTTCAAATCCGAAAAAATGCCTGATACTACCTCCATATCCCTTGCCCCAAAAGTTCCCCAGAGCCTTGGGCCTGCTCTTATCAGGGATGGAGGTGAGTGAGAACAGTGGCTCCCCAACTCCTCCCACAGAGATTCTGAGATTATTCCCATTTCACTTAGGTTTCACCAGCTCGGAGAGAGGAAGTTACTCAGCTAGAAAGTGCTAGAGTCCCAATTCAAACCCCTCACCTGACAGACCCCAGAATCAAGCTGGTAACCAAAGAATCAATCTGCCTCCCTCCTGCTGCCCAACAACATCACCATTTGGGGCCCTCTGTCCCCTTTTCAGCCTATCCTGGGGAGCTGGGTGGGGGAGGGCGCAAAGGCTCCTTGGCCTCCCAACTCTGGTCCCAGGGCAAGTCAGCTCTGGAATTCCCCTGAACAGAAGTAGCCCTGGACTTCCCCTGGGGTAAGGGATGAGGAACAGAATGTATGTGGGGGAAAGGGGGTGGCCTGAGCCTATTCAGCTTGAGTCTGGCCACGTCTTCGTGTCGATCTGGCCGCTTCCTGGAGCCAGGCATCGCTCTGGGTCAGAGAGAAACCCTGCGAGGCGGCTGCTAGTACTTTCCCCATTTTACGCTGAGAAAAGTGAGCCTCAATCCGAGGCCCACACAAGCGGAGGTGAGACAAGTTCTGCATTTGAACTCACTGTTAACTTCCTGTCGGGGATTCTAGCCGTCCAGTAATGGTCACCGGCCACCCACGCTCCCATAAACCCGCTGTGTAGGGATGGATGGCCGGGAGCCGTCTTCCCACCCCGCCCAGGGCGCAACCCAGACTTTGGAGGCTGGTAGGACAGCCACCCGCAATCCGACTCACCTGAGAGCAGAGCCCCGACACCTGGGAGCAGAGCCCCGAGTAGGGCCAGGAGCTTGGCTAACTGGGGCTGGGCGCCGCGGGGGGCCATAATAACAGGCGAGGCAGGAGAAGAAGCTGGTACCCGGGCGCTTGGCGCGCTGCGCGGACTGAGACACGGAAAGCGTGGTTGCCCTTTATAGGGCCTCGCAGCTGTGGGCCGGGGGGCGGTACTGCGTTCCCGGAAACCTCCCGCCTTCCCCTCAGGACTGAAGGCTCTGGCACTCCCGTATTTCCGCAATCAGAACGTGCCCGGCGCGAGCGGGGTCTTCCACCCTGCTGACCATCCAGCACAGGAATTTCCGAGCTGAAGCAATCAGGGCGCCGGCGGGACGCCTGGCCCTTCAGGGGTCCTGTCCCCTGCCAGGCTAACCTGGAGGCAGCATTTACATCGCTCTAACCAGCCACTCCTTGAAAGGAAGTTTGGGCAATCTATTTCCGTAGTGATAACCTCCTGGGAAACCCATGGAGGGGTCCCTATGAGTCGGGTCCGACTCCACGGCGAACAACACAACAACCGCTTCATTGAATACTTCCAACCACGCTGGAATGTCCGGACTTTGATTGTGTCCATTTTACAGATGGGTAAACCGAGACTCGGAGCTGAGAAAGGATTCGAACCCAGGTCGACCTCCCCAGCTCGTGCAGACCTTTAACGGAGCAGACGAACTCAGCAAGCCACCCAAGGCGCCCTCCAAGGGCGCTCCTCCCCCAAGGGGCATGTCTGGGCATCCCCGCCTGGCCCCGCTGACACCCAGATTTCTCGAGAAGCTGCTGCAGCAGGCGCAAGCAGCTCGAGGTTTTGAGAATCCCACGGATGGGGTGTGCGTGCCGTCATAGGATGCGGGGGGGTCTGATGTACCCCCCCAATGGGTGCTCCCACCCCCAGCGACCTTACTTCCCCTTTCAGCCCCTTGGGGGCGTGTTTGTAGTTCCCAGAAAAAGGAAGGAAGCTGCGTAGGCCTCACGCTGTGAGACCCTCAGCTCGTGTTCCAGGCTCCGCGGGGAAACTGAGGCAGCAGCTCAGGCCCTCACTGAGGAGGCGAGAGAGGGCGCTCAACCCCCGCCCCGCCCTTGACACGCGGTTTCGGCAGCACGAAACGTGCTGCCCTAAATGTGATTGCCTGGGCTAGCTCCAGTAGGAAGTTTCGGAAGATACCATACCCTGGCCACGCCCGCGTGTGTGACCCCAAGACCCGGTATACAACACGTCCAGGCTGGGGACCTTGGGGGCAGCCGCCGCTCAGGGCTTGCTGTTGTGAGGCACGCGCGGCGTCGCCATGGAGACCTCCGAGGGGCCAGGGAGGTCGCACAGCAGAAGGGGAAGGGAGGGGCCCCCCGAGGACGCCTCGGCCCTTCCTCCGGGTACGGGGGCTGCAAGTCACTCGTCATCCAGAAATGCGCCCCTCCCCCCGCCCCTGTTCCTAAGGAATTTCCACGGGAATCTTTCTGCTTGAAGGTTTGGGGGAGCTGAATCCCCGCCCCGGAACGGCCTGGGTAAAGGAGCAGGGGGTAGGGCCCGGTTTGTCCCCGAGCCTGGAAGGGTCTGGGAAAATCCCGTGCAGCTCAGGTGGTTATTTTCAGGCGGATTTTTCTCTGGCTCCCCGTCCTCGGCCACGGCTGGAAGTGTGTAGGCGGCGCGCGCCCCCTGGCGGCAAGGCCCTACTTGCAGCCACAAAAGCAGAGTTTATTAAGCTCTGGTAGCATAGTGGCTAAGACACTTGCCTGCTAACCAGACGGCTGGCGGTTCAAACCCACCAGCCACTCCTCGGAAGGAAGGTTGGGCAATCCTACTTCCGTAGTGATACTGCCTCGGAAACCCAAGGAGGGGTCGCTATGAGTCAGGTTTGACTCGACGGCACATAACAACAACAACAACAACAAACCACTCTCATGGAGTTGATTCTGACTATGTTGTTGTTGTTGTTATGTGCCGTCGAGTCGGCCCCGACTCATAGCGACCCCTCCTTGGGTTTCCGAGGCAGTATCACTACGGAAGTAGGATTGCCCAACCTTCCTTCCGAGGAGTGGCTGGTGGGTTTGAACCGCCAGCTTTCTGGTTAGCAGTTAAGTGCTTTAGCCACTATGCTACCAGAGCTCCTGATTCTGACTATAGCCACCCCCATAAAGTTTCCAAGGCTGTAAATCTTATGGAAGACTGCCTCATTTTTCTCCCGTGGAGCAGCTGGTGAGTTTGAACCGACAAGCTTTTGGGTAGCAGTCAAATAAACGCCTTACCACAGTGCAACGAGAGCTCCTCATGGAGTATTGAGCGCCTTCTGTGTAGTAAAGGAGCCCTAGTGGAGCAGTGCTTAAGCACTCGGCTGCTAAACGAAAGGTCAGCAGTTGGAATCCACCAACTGCTCCGTGGGAAAAAGATGTGGCAGTCAGCTCTGTAAAGGTTATTGTTCAGTGTCCTCAGGTCGGTTCCTACTCAGTGACCCTGTGTGCAAGAGAATGAAATCCTGCCGGGTCCTGTGCCAGCCTCACAGTCAGTGCTACGGTTGAGTCCATTGTCGCAGCCACCGTGTCAATCCGTCTCGTGTAAGGCTTTCATCCTTTTGTCTGACCCTTTGTCAGCATAATTTTCTTTTCCAGGAACTGGTGCCTCCTGAGAACATGTCCAAAGAACGTGAGATGAACTCTTAAAACTTCGCTTCTAAGGAGCATTCATTCTGGTTGTACCTTTTTCAAGACACACTTATTCACTCTTGTGGCGGTCCATGGTACATTCAATATTCTTCACCAACATCCTAATTCAAATGTATCAATTCTTCTTTGTTGATAGGTGCCATCAAGTTGGCTCCAACTCATAGCGACACTATGTACAACAGAACAAAACCCTGCCTGGTCCTGTGCTGGCCTCACAATCCCTGCTACACCTGAGCCCATCGTTGGAGCCACTGTGTCAATCCATCTTGTTGAGGGTCTTCCCCTCTTTCTCTGACCCTCCACCTTACCAAGCATGACATCCTTCTCCACAGAATGGCCCCTTCTGATAACATGACCAAAGTAGGTGAGACAAAGTCTGGCCATTCTTGCTTCCAAGGAGCATTCTGGCTGCACTTCTTCCAGGACAGATTTACTAGTTCTTCTAGCAGTCCATGGTACTTTCAGTATTCTTCACCAACATCTCAACTCAAAAGCATCAATTATCCTTAATAATAATAATAATAAACTCGCTGCCTTGGGTTTCCAAGGCAGTATCACTACGAAAGTAGATTGCCCAACCTTCCTGATGGTTTGAACCACCAGCCTTCTGGTTAGCAGTCAAATGCCTTAGGCAGTAGGCCACCAGAGCTCCTCAGTTCTTCTTAGATCTTCCTTATTCATTGACTAGCTTTTGCATGCATATGAGGTGATTGAAAATACCATGGTTTGGGTCAGTCACCCTTCAGCCCTCAACATGACATCTTTGCTTTTAACACTTTGAAAAGGATGTTTGCATCAGATTTACCCAATGCAGTACGTTGTTTGATCTCTTGACTGCTGGCTGCTTCCTTGGGCTTTGGTTGTGGATCCAAGTAAAATGAAATCCTTGACAACTTTGATCTTATTTATGCATTTATATTTTTGCAGTATTCTCTCTGCTCCCCTCCCACCAACAAAAAAAGTTTCCTTCCACATACAAACCTTTCCTTGACTTTTTACAACAATGAACTAATACAATATTTGTCCTTCTGTGAGTTCACTTAGTATAATGTCCTCCAAGTTCATCCACGTTATGTGGTGATAACTTCAATCTTTTCTCCATTTATCATGATGTTGCTTATTGTCCAGTTGTGAGGAATTTTCTTTTCTTTATGTTGAGGTGTAATCCACACTGAAGCCATTGATCTTCATCAGTAAGTGTTTCAAGTCTTCTTCACCTTCAGCAAGCAAGATTGTGTGATCTGCATGTCACAAATTATAGTCTTCCTCCAACCCTGATGCTGCGTTCTTCTTCATATAGTCCAGCTTCTTGGATTATTTGCTCAGCATACAGATTGAATAAGTATGGGGAAAGGATGGAACCCTGACACCTACCTTTCCTAAATTTAAGCCACACAATATCCCCTTGTTCTTTTCAAATGACAGCCTCCTGGTCTATGTATAGCTTCTTCATGAGCACAGTTAAGTGTTCTGGAATCCCCATTCTTCGCAATGTTATCCATAATTTGTTATGATCCACACATTTGATGCCTTTCCATAGTCAGTAAAACATAAGTAAACAGCTTTCTGGTATTCTTTGCTTTCAGCCAAGATCCATCTGACATCAGCAATGAGATCCCTCAATCCTAAGAGATTCCTCTTCTGAATCCAGCTTAAATTTCTGGCAGTTACCTGTCAATATAGTGCTGCAACTATTTTAAAATTATTTTCAGCAAAATTTTACTTGTGTATGGTATTAATAATATTGTCCAATTACTTCTGCATTTTGTTGTATTACCTTTCTTTGGAATAGGCACAAATACGTATCTCTTCCAGTCAGTACCCCAGGGAGCTGTTTTCCAAATGTCTTGGCATAGATGAGTGAGGGCTTCCAGCATTGCATTCATTTGTTGAAGTATCTCAATGGGTACTGTGTCAATTCCTAGAGACTTGTTTTTCACCAGTGCCTTCAGTGCAGCTTGGATTCCTTCCTTTAGTACCATCAGTTCTTGATCATGTGCTACCTCCTGAAATGAAAGACGGGAAAGAAAGAAAAGATCAAAATGATGTCAGAAGAGACTCAGAAACTTGCTCTTGAACATAGAGTCACCAAAGTGAATGGAAGAAATGACAAAGTAAAGAAACTGAACAAAAGACCTCAAAGGGCAGCTCAAGAAGACAAAGTATTGGCTATAAGATCAACATCCAAAAATCAGTTGGATTCCTCTACACCAGCAAAGAGATTGCTGAAAAAGAAATAAGAAAATCAATACCGTTCTCAATAGCT